CCCTGCAGACGAGCCTCCTCAGCACTGCATTGCTGCCTAGGAGCTGCTCGCCCAGTGTGATCTCCTGCACCTGCTATCCTGTTTCAACCTCCCATGCACGTAACCTTCCGCTGCGATAATTCTGTTGCCTGGAAAGCTTGCTGCGTTCCTTCTTCTTGCTGCAAGAACGTCAGTTTATTTCCGTGCACACTGATCATGTGCCTGGTTTCCGTAACGATCTTGCTGATAGCCTCAGCCGCGGTTATGATCCCTCTTTGCTCGGTTTCCAGCCGTCCGAGCGTTGCGATGTGCCTTGGGCAGCTTTCCCATCTTCATTCCGCACGTGCACATACCCACGGGAGAAGGACTTTTCCGACCACTTGGCTCCCGCTGGGTCATGTGTTTACTCATAGCTGTTTGCTGTTTGAGAAAGATCACCGTACTTCGTTTTTGGTTCAAGCCACACACCAAATCAATGCAATGCTGGCTAGCTTTACTTTTGAGCTTAAACAATACATTGCTTCGTAGAGCAAGACATTTGAGCATAGGTAATTCCTTTCCGCATTAGGCGGCGTGCAAGCGTTCCTTTGGGAACGTGGATGTCGTCCGGCTTCGGCTGGCTTCCTCTCGGGTATCACATCAGTGATCTCGAGAACTTGGCCTTGCGCAAATTACTTTGGACGGGATTTTTCGGATAAAGCTTCACGGGTCCAAACCCAGCAGTCTTGCTTTGACATCCACCTGGGTTCCCGAGCTCTTTACGGGCTGCATTCCGTTCCAGTTGATCGTGCAGATCATCTTTGGGCACTCCGCACCACTCCCCGAAGTCATCCTTAATTTTCTTTGGTCTTTGAGATGTCCACTGACCCGGCACCGCATGCTGCAATCGTGGCAGTTGACCCCATTGAACCACACTCTGGACATCACGCAGAGCACGACACTTCGGCTTTCTCGCCAGTCAGGGTCAAGCGTTATAGGAATAATCCTTTGGGTCCAGGGCGTGCCGCGGCTAGCGATTTGATTGATGCTGTTTCAAATTTTGATCAAACTTTGGGGGAGAGGGTGCCAAGCGAACACTTCCCTTCACCTCCACTACCTGTGTGTTCGCAATCTTTTGTCATGTCTGCAACTCCCAAATCTTCAGCTGCCTCAGGTTCTTGGTCGGTCGTTGCTTCTTTGCATCCTGGGACGACCCTGGAACGCCCGGCATCAAAGTCGCATCCTTTGCCGGCACCTAATCGGACTCTCTGTCCTAGGACTAGGCCCTCGGTTGCTTTGGTTCCTAGCGCAACGCCTTTGCCAGCCCCCACTAGGCTTAATATACATCGGGCTTGCCTGCCGTCAGAGGCGCCTCTGCCTCCACCGAACTATCAGCCTGCCCGCGCATATTCAATTTACCCTTCGGAAGCTCACGGCATGCAGGTTTTTGCCCCACTTCAGGAAGGGGTAAGGTCTGCCTCAGAAGCTGAACCTCCTCATCGTTCTTCCTTTGTCCGCCCTTCCCCAAAGGGACCTGCAGCATTGAAGTCTAGTGATCACACCCCCGCACTCTGCCCTGAGGCCGCTGCGATTGCCTCCAATTTGGGGGGTGTTGTTCTTCAGAGCACCCTGCACTCTGAGGCCTGGGATGCCATTTTATTGCTCTGGCGTTCTTTGGTAGACATCATTGGCCCTTACAGTTCGGTGCTGCAGCAGCTTCAGGGATCACCTAATGGCCCTGCTTTGACATTGAAGCTCTTGCAGCTCAACGCAGACACAACCGCTTTACGCTATGTCAAGGCTTGTTTGGCTTACTTCGAATTTCTTGTTGACCTCGGGCATTCCTTGGACAATCTCTCCCAACTTGCCGCAGTTGAGGCAGTATACGCTTTACACTGCAGCCGTTCCCAGGACGATGACTTCTCTCTGGACCGGGAACAGATTGCTTTGGTTTTTCCGCTCAACACCCTGAAGGCGCTGCGTTGGTTGGTGAAAACCGTGACCCTTCACTTCCCAGACCTCTACTCAGGCCTGTTCAGAGCTTTGTCTGCTCAGCCATCTTCAGATCGTTCTGAAGCCATGCCACTTCCTTTGGACTTTGTCGCCTTTCTTGAATCGGTTGTGCTTGATCTTCTCTCTGCTCCTGAACTTGCTCTTTTTGCCGGCTCTGCATTAGTATGTATATGGTCTTCGCTGCGCTTTGGGGACGCTTCCCACGTATCCTGGTCAGCTCTTCTGTTTGACCCTCAAGCATTAGTCATTCGTGGCCTTGCCTATCGTACAAAAACATTTCGGCGTGGCATGGCTTTTGCTTTCTACGCAGAGGGCATATACGGCCCTTGGGGTATTCGCTGGCTCCAGCTTCTGGATGCCTTGTGGGGTTCTTTGGAACAACTCTCCCCCAATGTGGTTCCTGACTCCCTCTTTTTCTGCTCATCGCTTCTGGATGACGCTTGCGACTTTGCATTTTGCCCCGCGTCATATGCATCGGCGCTGCGTTGTCTGCGTTCAGCCTTGAACCTGTGGGGTCGGCTAGGATACGATGCGTCTCGCAATTTCACTTTGCATTCTTGCAAGGCGACAGTCTTGTCCTGGTGTTCGCAGCTTGGCCTTGGCGACATGGCACGCCGTGAGCAGGGACACCATCGCACCACCTCAGTCACTCTTTACGGTCGAGATGACACGCACGCGGCCCTAGCTCTTCAGGCCTCGATCCTTGGCAAGATCCGCACTGGCGCTTTTCGTCCCAGCATTTCCCAACACCGCGGAGCCCAGTCGCCGATGGCAGAGCCGCAGCTTTTGGTTAGGGAAGGTCTTGCGACTTCTGGACTGGAGGTCCCCCAGCGCTTTCGGGGGGGTTTCTCTGAGCATAGTGCGGATCCCCTGCCAGCAGCAGCTCTCCCTTTGGTATCCAGCCAGTCAACTTCAGCGTCTAGAGAAACAATGTCTCAGGCCGCATCTGCATCTTTGGGGAAGTCGCCAGATCTAAACCCTGGCCATTGCGGGGTCGTACTTACACGCGAAGATTTGCCTCATCGGCACCGCTGTGGCATTTGTTACAAAGCTTTTAGAAGGGCACAAGGGCAACCCTGAGAAAGCCTTTACATCAGCATTTGGCCTTCATTTTGCCCCCCTCTTCTTTGGCTTTGCCCTTTGTGGCGGGGCGCAGTACATAGAGCGTTGCTGGCTTTATTCCGCCGCATTTTCCCTCAGTGAGCTTTAGGCTGCTCGAGGGCGTCTGGCATCGGAGCGTGCCGATGGAAATCAGAGCTTGCGTGCGGTTTCGGAGCTTCTTTCAATTCTTGTTGCTTTCATGTACCTTCCCCCATACATGCTCTCGCGCCCAGGTCTGGCTGTGGACGCTCCCCACATTCTTCCAGGCGCACCTCTCAGAGTGTTTCGTCCTTTCCTTGGCCCAGCTTATTGGCTTTGCACTGGCTTTACGGCCTCTTCTGTGCGTCAAGTGCTTCTATCTGTATTGTGCCGCTTTGGCGTGCTTCACTTTGGCCGATACAGGTTCTATGGCCGACCCAGGGAGCGACAATGGGCGAGGCCTTCTCGTGCAGCCGACCCCCTCAGACAAGCTCTCAGTTCTTTGGGAATCTTTGAACCTTGATTTCCCGGAAGAGGTTGCGTCTCATTCGGAGTTGAACCGCACCATTCGTAATTTTGGGTTCCTGGCTACCTCCTTTGACCAGTTGGATCAGTGGTTGGAGTCACACGGTCTCCTGGACTTTGGCTCCGGGACACATGCGGACCTTCGGTGTCTTTGGCACAGGTCACATGCCTTGGCTTGTTCTGAGGGACACACGGCAGCTGTGCCTTTTCCGCCGCAACCCTCTGCTCTGCCTTTGCCGCAGGACCAGTCCTTCAACGCGGCTTCAGACCCTAGCCACACCATGTCAGGTGCTGCATCGTGGAACGAGCCCTTCCCAGCTAAGCTCTCCTCAGACAAAACGGCCGAGCTTCGGGCCGCTTTCCTGCGGAAATATCCTAGCGAAGTTTTGGACGATTCCACTATGCCTTCGGCTCGTCTCCTTGCTTTGGCTTTTAAACAAACCTCGTCCCAAGAGTGGCGCTTCATCCCTTGGCGTTGGCGCATGTCAGTGCTTGAGCTTGAAGAACAGCAGTTGCAGCGCCCCCGCAAGCTGGCCAGGACTGAGTTGGCAGATCTCATTTTGGATGATGTCCCCTCTCGGAACCTCCCGGACACACTGGGCATGTTTGCATTGAGCAAGATTTTGCGCCTGCACAGTGTGGCGATGGCCATGGTCACTGATGTGCGCTTGGTGACGCTTAAGAAGTACGAGTCTACCTTCCTGCGTTTTGCTTCGGCTCGCTTTGACAACAGCAGTGGCCTTCGCCCACCCAACGCATTGGAATGTGAGCAGGCAGATCGCCGATTTTGGGAGGCCGTGTCCGAACTCCGTTTGCAAGGTTGGTCTTTGGACGACTGCATCCATGAGAACACAGCCGTCCGCAGCGAGCTGGCTTCTCTTTTGGCACCGCGCGTTTTTCTGCCCAAGGCCATGCGCCGCCCGGAGGGCAAAGGAGCAGGTGGAGGAAAGGGCAATAGCCCCGGTGCCGGCTTTGGCAACGGACGCGGACGCGGCAAAGGCAAGGGGGATGGAAGAGGCCGTGGGAGTGGCCTTGGCACCGGTCGTGGGGGATCCGGTCTGGGCAACTAAGGCAACTCCGCGGGGACCTCCACAAACCGTCAGGAGTGGGCATCCTCCGCAAAAATTAACGGAGAAGTCAAGACCCTTTGTATGCGCTGGAGTCAGCGCACAGGATGCAAAAATCCGTCATGCCGCTTTGAACACCTTTGTCCCGTGAAGCTTCCCAGTGGCAAGATTTGTCTTGGCAACCATCCGGCATGGCAACATACTGACACCCCGCATTGAGGGGGACCGGACCCATCTTTCGAGCAGGCAGCTGGGTCCGGTCTGCCTTCGTTCGTGCCTGCCATTTTGCCTTTGTCTTCCCAGAGCTCTCCAACTCCGGCAACCGCTGCTCCGGCAAAGCAGGCACCCGAGCCTCTGATGCCCGTTTTTCCTCACGAGGGGGCTTTGGCTTTGTCCGTTTCCGACTCATTATCTCCAAGAAGCCCGCCACCACTGCACACAGATCCCGATGTGGACGTTTTGGCCCCGGACAGCCTCAGCCCAGCGTCATCTCCTGCACCGGTCTCCGCAGAGTCCATGCCAGGGCTGTTTCCTCCGGCCTCCTCACAGGTCACCTCTGTCCTACAGTCAGTTCGGGATTTCAAGCAACCCTTCTTCCTGGACATTTGCGCGGGAGCGGGCTCGCCGCTCAGTTCAGCTTTCCTGGAGAAGGGGGTACCTTGTTTGTCTATAGACATTCTCATTGACACAAACATGGATCTTCTCCAGGACGACTTCTTTGAACATTTGCTGCGCATTTGCACGTCCCGCCAGGTGGCCCTTGCGCACGCTGCCCCCCCATGCAGGGAGTACTCTCGCCTGAAACTCCTTCCTAGAGGCCCAAAAGCACTTCGGACTCCTGCATTCCTGAATGGCCTTCCCGACCTGTCGGCATCACAGGCTCTTAGGGTCCAGGAGAGTCATCTTAGATTTGTGCGTTGCGTTCAGCTGTTGCATGTCAGCTTTGCCTGCGGCGCGCAGGTGTCGCTCGAACAGCCCCCCAACAGCATGGCCTGGATGGAGCCGATTGCGACCAATTTCTTGGCAGCCATCAGCGCGGATCTGGTCCACGTGGCCGCTTGTGCCGTCAATCTCGACATGCGCAAAGCTTGGCTTTTTGCCACGTCATTAGGGCCTTTCAGGCTTTTGCCTCTACATGTCCACACACCGAGGGGACCCACGTGGCTTTGCAGGGTTTGCGTGATGAGTCCGGCAATTTTTGCAGTCGGGCCTCTGCAGAGTACCCCCCCCTTTTAGCAGACATGTATGCGGAGCAAGCCCTGCCCCTCTTCGACGTGGAACAAGGGGGAGGTACTGCCCTTTCTTTCGCCACGGTACCTTTGCTTGCCAAACCCAAGGCCCTTCACGAGGCTCCCGTGGCTTTGCAGGATGGGGCCGGCATCCTCTCCACGCCAGACTGGAGCGCACCACCCTCGGGAGCCACAGACGTGTTTGCACACCTTAGGCCTAAGCTAATGGCCTTTCTTCTTCAGGGTCGTTTCCCTCAGCGCTTGCGCACTTTGGTTTTGGGGGGATCCGCGGAACCTCTTTTCTCAAGCTCGGAGATAGACGCCCTGCGTTGCATCTTCCAGGACTGGCTCTCCGCACATTTCCCTGGCATTTCCGTCTCCTGGGAAATATCCGCAGAGCAACCATACTGCCTCCAGGCTCTGGCAGCTGTCTCACGCATCTGTCAAGATCGAGACGTGTCCCTGTTCACCTGTCTGGAACAGGGAGTGCCTACTGGCTTTGACGGGGACATGCTTACTGTTCGCGAGCGAATGGTGTTTTATCGATTGCTACCAAAATGTCTCTAAGAAAAACGGTGTGCCGTTTTGTCTTGGTTTGAAGCCCAAAAGTTTCTGGTGCTTTCATGCTTGGTACTGCCAACGACAATTTGCAATGCGTTTAATGGAAGATGTGTGTGCAGCACTGGCTCCACAGCTCAGTGCGAAAATTTTGGCTCAAGCACTGGCTCCACAGCTCAGTGCGAAAATTTTGAGGCTGGAGGCCGCATTCTAGTCTAGTGGCTCTTACCCGGGTGCTAAGGCTTTAGTTTCGTGCAAGCTTCCCGCGATCGGGAAGTGGATGGACCTATCTGCATCAAGTGCCTCCACATCGTCATCCGACGATTTTCGAGTGCCTGTACCATCCTTTGTCTTTGCGCCTGTTCGCATTCGACCCTTGCACTATCACGTGCCTGCCCTTCAGCGCCGTCTTGAGGCGCCGCCTGATATTTTCAGCTACATTGTTGAGCCTAGCTTCCGTGGCCTCCTCATTAGTCGGAGTGAAGGGGCCCGGTTCCTTCTCTACCTCACGCTGTCTGATTGGAACCAGTTCAGTACTGCTGCCCATTGGGTGCAGTCGTGCTACCGCCAGCTCCTTTCTTTGCCTGGTTGAGTGCCTCTTGATGCTGCAATGTCTGCGGAGGGTCTGCCGGATATAGATGGGGATGAATTTTCGGTCGGTCATGTTAGCGAAGATGATGGACCAACAGTCCTTCCTTTCGTTCCCCTTGAGTTGCCCCCATTTGGGGCTAGTGTGCAGTCCTCTGGGCCGTTGTTGCGGTTGCCAAGGTCGTCGATTGCGGAAGGTGATGACCTAGATTGGGGAGATGAGAACTCCCCTGTCTCGGCGGTGGAAGACTTTATGGTCGATGTCAACCCTGACCTGTCTGAGCTCAGCTCTGAGCATACCTCATGCCGGTCATGTGCGCGTGATGATTTGTTGAGCCAGTCAGCAGACCATGACGCCGTTGGGGAAGATTCTCAGATAGCCGAGTCTGAGAAACCGTCTGTCAGCGAGCCTCCTGCAAAAATGGCGCGCACCGTGGGTGATGTGTTTGCCGATAACTTTGTACGGTTGGCGGATGGGGGCCTGTCTGATGTTGTGTTGCCTTGGGAGCTGCCTGCTGTTAGTGCAATCTTTGGTGAGTCTTCGGTGTCTTCGGAGCTTAAAATGCCGCCCCTTTCTATACGTGAGGCGGAAGTCTGGACCCCCCAGTCACCTCCGTGTAATCCATTCGCTTCCTTTGTTGAACCACAGGAGCCGTTCGTGCCTGGTGACCTTGCGTCATCTGTTTTCAAAGCCCTCTCCGACGTTGACGTTGATGCCCAACAACGCAAAGCGGTGAGGCTTGCGGTTGATAAGTGGATCGTGATCATGCGGAGGAACCGCAAGATGCACCCTGAGTGCGAAGTCGATCCACAGGCGCTGGAAGCACGCATTGGGTCGAGGGCCGCAGGAACAGCCTCCAAGAGAGCAGGTAGCATCCTCACGTTCTTGAGGTGGTTTGATACCATTGTTGGTGCAAACCTCGACCCTTTCACTGATGACATGTTTTGGAGGTACATGCAGTTCCTGGATGGTTCGCAGGCTCCACCATCCAAAGCCTCTTCCTTCTTGTCCGCCTTGCGTTTTGCTTACTTCGTGATGGATGTAACTAACATTCCTTGCAAATTAAGCCGCAAGTGTGTTGGTGCAGCTGAACGTATGTTGGCCAACCTTGGGGACCTTGCGCAAGCACCCCCGCTCACCGTGGCGCAAGTTCGCATCCTTCACTCCCTGTTGCATGGACATGGTACCTCGGATTGGGATCGGGCCTTTGCCGGATATTGCCTTTTGTGCTTGTATGCACGTGCTAGACAATCCGACTTCCGCAAGGTGGCATACGTGGACGTGGATGGAGAAGGTCGTGATGGCTACGTGGTGATCCGGGTCAAGCAGCATAAAACTGCGAGGGCAGCCAGAAGGGTCGCGCAGCTGCTCCCAATCTTGATTCCATTGCGTGGAATCGCTGATCGTGAGTGGTTTGAATCATGCAAGTGTGCCTTTGAGAAGGTTGGTCTTCCGTTGCAAGGGCATGTTGGTGCTGCGCTTTTCCGTCCACCCTTAGCCAGTGGCGTGTTGGCTCGCAGGGCCATTACGGCGGGGGAAGTCTCGACTTTCTTAAGGCTTGTGCTTGGAGATAAGGCAGTGTCCTCACACAGCTTGAAAAGAACGTGCATCTCTTGGGCCAGCAAGGCTGGGGCCAAAAAGGAGGTTCGCTCCTGTTTGGGCAGACATGTCACGGCTGTTGAAGGAACTGAAGCTGTGTACTCTGTTGAGTTAAGCGTGGGGCCCGTAAGGGAGCTGGAAACAGTCTTGGACGCCATCAGACAGCTTGAGTTTTCTCCTGATGCGCCTCGGGGGCAAATGTGGGCGTTCCCCCCGCAGCCACCTCCCGCGGACGGGCCAATGCAGGGCAAAAGCTCGTGGTCGACTCAAGCAAACATTAGTGCCTCGTTGACACCTGCGATCAAGGTTGAAAGCTCCGGTGAAGAAGAGTCATCTTCCTCCGATAGCTCGAGTGAGTCGTCGGGTTCAAGTGAGTCGCAAACCTCGCGCGACCCCGTGCGTGTCGATGACCGGGCGGCTGTTCCCAGCGGGAACCCTGTACAAGGCACAGGTACATGGGTTAAACACTCCAGATCTGGAGTTCTTCACCATGCTTATGGCGACAACATCCTTGTGTGTGGGCGCCCGCGCACGGCAATGTATGTCTTACCTTCTGAGGAGGATCTTATGAATCCGGAGTGTCGCACATGCAAGCGCAACCTATGATGAGGCGAGGTTGGGAGAAGGATGTGTTCGTTTCCGATCGCTATGGCGAAGAAAAGAGATTGCTACATGGTAGCGACATGTGCCCAGGGGCTAATGTGAGGAAACGTGAGCTGCAGTTATGCTGTTGCCGACTAGATGTCGGTTTGTGGATCAAGGCAAGGACATGGTTCCTTATGAGCCTTGTGGCACATGGTGCCAATGCCTAGCCAAGGGGCTTTATGGGCAATGGGGGCCCAGGGGCCACGCATTCAGCATGTGAGTGTTGGGATTGTGCATGTGATGGACCAATCCCAGGCTCGCAGTCGTAGAAAGTGGACATGTTAGTTGTGGTACACTGTGTTGTGTGGTGTTTGTACGGTATTTTATACCTTGTTGCGCATGTGATGTGATCAGGTGTGGCTTCCTCTTTGACTGTGCAACGTAGTTTTCCGTGCCATGTCTTCCTTGATTGAGTCTGAGGCCCACTTCGTCCAGCGCGCCCGCGAGATCAAGTGCCCTGATGATGTGCTAGCCGAGCTTCGTGTTGGTGGGTTCACCAGCCTGGGACAACTGGCTTACGCTGTGGGTCAGCCTGGCCAGGTCATCCCTGAGTCAGCCTTCAATGCCTTCTGCGCAGCGACCACACCTGGAGCCAATGCGGCTGGCAAGGCATGCGTGCGCCGCCTTGTCTTTGAGGCGCAGACATTAGTTTTGGCTGACTTGCGCCTGCAAGTTTCTGATCCTGAAGGGGCCTCCAGGAAAATGCCGGAGGCAGAAAGGGACCGGCGTCTGCAGCACCTTAGGGGTCGGCTTCCGGGCGTGCTCATTGAGGGCGGCATGGAGCCCGGGAGATGTGTCTTGGAAGACTGTGTCAGACAGGAATCCGCCAACCAGCTGAAGTACCTCAGCCCTGATCGGTGTGTATCAAGGACACACGAAGTCACCCACTCCAAAGGTGCGTCCCGCCAGCTAGAACTTGAAAGCTCCAAGCTGGTGATCAAGGAAACGGATGATGCCATGAGTATGCCAACTCATAGCGCGTTGCAAGTCCAGGAGGCCCTTCGTCGCCGGGCATTGCCTATGTGTTTGCTCAGTGCCTCACCTTCACTGCCTACGAGAAGTACATCTCCCGTCTGTTCAGCAACCTTCACAGGGAGCCCCCTCCGAGTTTTGCGCGTTGCTCTGTTGCACAATTGGTGGAAGCCGATCGGCAAGTGTTCATCCGCATGATCGAACTGGGAGTTCAACCGCGCGCAGCCGCAGACGGAAGTTTCCCAATGGATGATGCGTTGATATCAGCACTTGAAAGCTACCACGTCTCCATGGCCTTGATGCCGCTTCCACAAAAGCAAGGCAATGGAAACAAAGAGCGCCGTGAGCTCAAGCGCAAGCTCGAGCCTGGGGACAAGAAGCTCAAGGGTAACCCCAAAGGCGGAGGCAAGGGCAAAGGCAAGTTTACCCTCGCCGCTCGTGTTCCCAAGGAGATTCTCCAGAAAGGTGGTGTGGCTAATGCTCCTACGGGTGAGCCCTTATGTTTCGATTACAATCTGCATGGGGACAAGTGCAAGTGTTCCGCCGCAACGTGCCCCCGCAAGCACCTGTGTTGCAAGTGTTTCCAGCCGCATCCCATCCGGGATCACAAGGAGTGACAGTCAGTTCTTGAGGCGGGGCTTGTTGCCTCGACGTCGGAAGAGCCCGTGTCGACAGCAGTTCCGCCAAATGAGGAAACTGGACCTGAGGCTCCCGCTGTGGTCAGTCAATCTGTGCACCTTGTTACGGATGAGCCCCCAGTTTCCTTTTCTCCCAAGCCAAGCTCCCAGCTGAATTCGTGTGCTTCTTTCAATGACCCTGAAGAACTTGCTGAGCAACTTCTGCAGGGCAAGCTCATTGATCCTCACTCTGTGCTCTCCCTGTGGGAGCTTCTTCCGCACGAGGCCCCCCACAAAGCGGCGTCTGGCAGCTCTTTCTTCACTGGTATGTACCGTAGAGGGGGTGTGCTGGGCCTTCGGGCCAATGTTTCTCGCTTCCCGAAAGTCACACAGGTCCTATGTGCGTTCGTTCGGCAACGCCGGCCGTCCGCGGTGTTCACTTCGCTTGCCATATTTTGTGACATTCCCACTGAGCCTCATCGTGATTCCCACAACGGGCCGTCGCCCAATCTTGTGTTCAGGCTCTCAGATTTCTCTGGGGGCGGTGTATGGTGTGAAGGCCCCGGGCAAGACGTTCGCCCTGTTCAAGGTTCGCCGGTTCAGGGACGTGTGCTCGAGTTCGCTGATGGCTGTCTTGAGCTGCCTGCTAAGGACCACTGGCATATGACTGAACCCTGGCAAGGCCGTCGCGTGGTTCTGGTGGCATATGCGCTGCCTCATCTGCCCTCAGTCAAGCTTGAGGTCCCCCAAGCCCTCCTTGAGCTTGGCTTCCCGTTGCCACCGGACTTCCTTCCAGCACTGTCGGACGTTCCTCCACCCAGCGATGCAGCTCCGAAGCCCATGCAGGCGCCCGCTCTGTCTGCCAGTGAGGCGTCCTCCCGGCCACCGTTCATTATTGAAGTCTTTTCCGGCATGTCCAGACTCTCAGCTTGCCTCAAGCAACTTGGGTTTGACGCCGTCGCTGTCGATCATAAGCGCGTGCCTGGCGCCGCCTGTCATGTTCATCTTGTCGACTTGTGCACGACAGAAGGCGTTGAGTTGGTTCGACGTTGGCTGGCAATGCCCAACTGTGTGGGCATTTGGTTCGCCCCACCGTGCGGGACTGCCAGCCGAGCAAGAGAGATTAAAGGGGTTCCGGGGCCCCCTCCTCTCCGATCGGACAAGTTTCCGAACGGGTTGCCGCAGCTGGACGGACAGGCCCTTCTCCGGGTCACCTTGGCGAACCAGCTTTATGACTGTGTGTCCGACCTAGCCCTTGAGGCTGCTTCCCGTGCCCTTGTCATAGGTGTAGAGAACCCCAGGCAGAGTCTCTACTGGCGCACTTCCATGTTTGCACGTGTCGCACACCTCTTTCAGTTCACTGCTTTCCAAAGCTGCGCATATGGCAGCCGTCGTCCCAAGTGGACGGCCATTGCGTATACCCGGGGTGCGTTTGACAGCATCTGCAAGTCCTGCCCTGGGCAGTCCTGCGCCCAACGTCACTTGCCGTGGGGGGTGGCGCCGGCAGCGCCTAACGGATTTTCTACTTCGTTGGAGGCTGCGTACCCACTGCCATTGGCCCGTGCTCTCGCCCAGGCGTTCTTTCAGGCTTGCCCGCCCAGGCCGCTCTCGCCTTCCGGACTCCAACTGTCTCTTGTCCGTGGCCAGGTCGGAAGTCAGCCGAAGGCTTCTGTGACGGGGCCCCGGGACCCGAGCATGCTCGCATTTTGCGAGTACGGATCCCCCCTCATGTTTCATGTCCCGTGCCCCTGCGTGCCCGCCTTAAGGACCCATGGTCACTGCCACACGTGGCCGTCTGCCCTGAGCGCTCGGTGCCGGCCGAGGCCCAATTGCTGCAGATTGTCCCGGTTAAGCAGGGGAGCTCGAGTGGTGGTGGTTCAGGGGGCAAGGGCTGTAGTGTTGGTTCGGAGCTCTGGAACGAGCTTGTTTGGGGTATCCCATTTTTTTCGGAACAGTTTGTCCGCGAGGCAGTTAAAGCTGGCCATCCCAGAACCCTAGAGGTCGCCCTACCGCAGGTGATCAAAGATGCTGTGTGCACCCATGCCTCGATGACAGAGTCGGAGCTGTGCGGGTTGAGAGCGCGCCAGTTTGCAAAGTGGCTCAAGCTTGCACAGGACCTCAGAAGTGAAGAAGATGCGCTGAAGGCCTCTATGCACAAACAGGTCGCGACGATCCTTAAGCCCAAACGTCTCCTCTTGTGGAAGGCAATGATGATTGAGGCTTCCTACGACGATGTTGCCATATTCGACGAAGTGATCTCAGGTACCAACCTGGGAGGCCCGGTGCCTGATACAGGTGTGTTTGCCCCGAAGTTCAAGCCGGCGTCAGTCACGGTTGACCAACTCAAAAGAGATGCACCCACCTCTAGGGCGGCCCTGTTGTCCACCATCAAGTCCCAGGGAGAATCCCTGGATCGCGAGGTCCAAACGAAAACCCTCGAGGAACGCGATAGGGGCTGGTTGTCAGGTCCCATCGAAGTGGACCAGCTGCCACCTGATGCCATTGTGTCTCGACGGTTCGGGATCGAGCAGGATGGGAAAATCAGGTTGATTGACGACTTCTCAGGGTCAGGAGTCAATAGCTCCGTAGAGACATTGGAGACTGTGCGCCCTCAGACCGTCGACGTCATCGCAGGTGTGTGCCTGTCTTTGATGCGAGCGCAGCCAGGTTGTAGTCTCAAGGGAAGGCTCTATGACCTGGTCAGTGCGTACAGGCAGCTGGCTCTGGACCCTGCAGGGGCCTGGGCCTCGTACATTGGGCTGTGGGATCCTGACCTGGAGAGGGTAGTAGTGTTCCAGCTACATGCCCTCCCTTTCGGGGCAGTCAAGTCGGTGTCGACTTTTCTGAGAACCGTTAACTCGGTATGGCATCTTGGCGCGTTCTTCTTCGCCCTCTGCTGGTCCCACTACTTCGACGACTTCGTGTCTATTGCTAGAGGCTCACAGGTAGCCAATGTGCACCAAACAATCACCTTGCTCTTCGCCCTGTTGGGTTGGGACCTGGCCCAAGGCGGAAAGAAGGATGTGCCGTTTGCTGAAGCCTTTTGTGCTTTAGGGGTTGACATAGTGCTGTCGAGCGCCCACTTGGGTCGTGTGACCATTTGCAATACAGAAAAGAGAGTCCAGCTCCTCGTTGAGACCATGAAGCAGGCCCAGAAAGACCGGCGTATGAGTGTGCCTCAAGCACTCAAGCTAAGAGGTAAGCTCCAGTTTGCGAGTGGACAGCTGTTTGGACGTCAGAGTAAGTTCTGCTTGCAGCAGCTTTCGGAGTATGCTCATGGTGGTGCCCCTCCTGATCTGCCGGCCGAGTGCATCGACACTTTCACCTCGCTAGTCGACATGTTGGACAATGGCCGTCCTCGGCTAGTCCAGGTCAACAAACAGCAAACCTGGTATGTCTTCACTGATGCATCCTACTCGAAGGATGACCCCGTATTGCCCTGTGGAGTGGGCGGCCTCCTGTTTGATGATAAGGGCGTGTTGGTTGCCGGTTTCTCTCACGCCCTTAGCAGTGATGTCCGGAAGCTCCTAGGTGAGATTAACAAAGACACAATTATAATGGAGGCCGAGTTTGTTGCGGTGCTGCTTGCGTTCCGCCTTTGGGGCAAAAGGGTCGCGCACTCACCTGTTGTGGCTTTCATCGACAACAATGCTGTTAGGGACATTTTGATTTCGTGTCGGGGCAGGTCCCCAACTGTGAAAAACCTGCTTAAAATGTTTGTGAGCTTAGAGGTGGGGTGTGAGTTCATCCCTTGGTTCTCGCGCGTCCCTTCCCCTTCAAACTGCGCAGATCACCCGTCAAGGCTGGTGTCCAAGCACCTGCTGTGGGGTGGCATCAGTGTCCCGTGTTCCGACGTGTCGGAGCACCTGGATGCCATATGCTTTGGACTGTCGGCTAATAAGGGGGCTTGAGGTTCGCAAGTGTATGGTGAGACGCATGTGCAATGTATGTGCACCGCACTGTGTGCACCGGCACATGATAGGATGCGATCTTTGATTCGCCCACTGATGAAAAGGTGAAGGACATGCAGTGCTTGCTTGTGTCTTGTGGTTCTCCTTGTTTGGGCTATTGGCTTTTGGGTTCAAACCCAATTTGGTGCAAGCGATAAGCTTACTGTTCGCGAGCGAATGGTGTTTTATCGATTGCTACCAAAATGTCTCTAAGAAAAACGGTGTGCCGTTTTGTCTTGGTTTGAAGCCCAAAAGTTTCTGGTGCTTTCATGCTTGGTACTGCCAACGACAATTTGCAATGCGTTTAATGGAAGATGTGTGTGCAGCACTGGCTCCACAGCTCAGTGCGAAAATTTTGACCCGCCCAGCCCACCCAGGGCATCACAATAGCAGGGCCCGCTGATGCGGCTGCAACTCCCTGCGTGCCACCGGCACCCCCATTAGTGTTGCATGTACAGCTACCTCGCCCTTGAAGGGGGCTTGAGGTTCGCAAGTGTATGGTGAGACGCATGTGCAATGTATGTGCACCGCACTGTGTGCACCGGCACATGATAGGATGCGATCTTTGATTCGCCCACTGATGAAAAGGTGAAGGACATGCAGTGCTTGCTTGTGTCTTGTGGTTCTCCTTGTTTGGGCTATTGGCTTTTGGGTTCAAACCCAATTTGGTGCAAGCGATAATCCGTTGTCCAATGTTTTCCTGCCACAAGGAGGGGGCCATCCTTTCGAGCAATCACTTGGCATTTGTCATGGCAATTGGTCCAGCGCTGAAGCGGATCTTCCAACCCTGCATGCCTTAGTAGAAGAGGAGATCGCCAATGGGTGGTTCTTGGAGCTAGATTCTTTGGAAGCGGCTCAAGAGCGTTTTGGCGACAAGCTGGCCATTGGAAAGATGTCTATCGTCAAAGCTGAAGGCAAAAAGCCGCGTCTTGTGGTTGATTCCACTGTCTGGGGCACTAACCCGTCTTGCTCGATCCCCGAGACGTACACACTCCCGGGCATTGACGATGTTAGGGATTCTTTCCCTTTGCGGTGTCACTCTGGCCTCTGCGCGGGGTTCGCTTTTGACATCAAGTCAGCTCACAAAACGGTTCGAGTTCGCGACTCGGATCAGGGGCTTCTCGGGGTCTCCCTCCCGAAGATTCAAGGTCCTGGCCGTCGTTGGCTTTTTTACCGCGGTTGTCCCTTTGGAGCGAACTTCTCGGCCCTCTGGTTCCAGCGACTTGGAAGCTTTTTCCTTCGCACTTTACACCTTTGGACCTGGCTCCGACACGCCCTGCTGGGCTACGTGGACGATTTTATCCTGTTTCAGGACCAGGAGGTCATTGGCCTTACAGCGTGCATGACACTGGCTTTTTGTGCTCTGTTCAACATACCCCTGTCCAATGCCAAGTTACAGCTTGGCAGCTGTGTCCACTGGATAGGCTGGCATTTTTCTTTCGGCTCTGGCACTTTCTCTATTCCGGTTGAGAAAGTCCAGAAGTTAAAGCGCCTGTTGCAGGAAGCCTTACAGGGTCGCCATGTCTCGAAACGGACCCTGGACAAGGTCACCGGGTTGCTGCAGTGGTTTTGCAAGCTGTACAAGCATTTTAAGCCCTGGTTGCAGACCCTGTACACTGATGCGAACCGTCCATTGGCCACCAACTACAGCATTGATCCTGGCGATTGGCCCGGCTTGGCCATTTGCGTTAACGAGGGGCTTGTCTTCACCTCCACACCGCCGGGCACGAGCATTCCGACAGGCGCTAAGCTCATTGAAGCCAGGCACTTGGCCCTGCAGTCTAAGAAAGACCTTGCCAAAATTCCCACCTCGAAACGCATTTGGATGAGAGTGACGGACCCCTCCACCACTCGCCGCAAGCTTTCAGTTTCCAGCCGTGAGAGCCTTCAGTTCTGGCTTAAGTGGTGCGAGGTTCCACCCCTTTTCTTTCCTTTGCAGAAACCTGCGGACGTTCCCATTGTCTGCGCCGCCGCCGACGCTCGCGCGGATGGGGACCTTGTCGGGATAGGGGGTTTTATCGAATGGCCTTCACGCCAAATTTCGTGGTTCAGCCAGTCATGGCGTGTCCCAGACCTTTCTTCACTGGGTGTGCCTTTGCAGGTGCCAGCTCACCAGGACATCACATGTTACGAGACATTGGCACAGCTTGGCCTCATTCTTTGTCTCCATTCCGTGGTGCCCTTGGCACGCTGGACAGTCCGTCTCCGCACTTTGTCCGACAACACAGGCGCAGAGGCAGGCATCAATAAGCTCTACAGCTCGGCCTTTCCTTTGTCAGTGTTTCTGAAACGCTTGTCCATGTTGGCGTGCATGACTGGCATTGAGCTCGACGTCTTCCACATACCCGGCGAAAAGAATGACGATGCAGATTTGCTCTCCCGCTGGAGTGATGAGTCCCAGCCCTTGCCTGCCAAGTTCCTTCCGGACTTTCGTGTGGACTGCAGCCTTGCACGCATCTGGCACTTTCGTTCCGATGTGCGCCTTTGGCCTCCAGATGCAAAGCTCAAATGGCAGCCGCCATAATCACTTTCCTGAGCTCTCATGTGAGAGCCTGGCATAGTCTGCGCTCACTTAGAAATTGGGTGGGTGGGCCCGGCGAGCTTTGACTTTGCCAGTTTGAAAGTTGGTCTTTTGCGCTTCAGACTTAGTACGCATCATCTGCTTTGCATTCTGCTTTGAACTCTGAGCGGCATTTCCGGCAAAGTCAAAAAGTGGAGAGAGCTCGTGGTACAGTGCTCGTTTTGGCTTAGGATTTCCTGTAGGCTTTTGTTAGCTTTGGTAGTGTGGCTTGAACTTGCAGCGAACGGGTCATGTGTTTACTCATAGCTGTTTGCTGTTTGAGAAAGATCACCGTACTTTGTCGTTTTTTGGTTCAAGCCACACACCAAATCAATGCAATGCTGGCTAGCTTTACTTTTGACCCACCCACCACTCCCTCTTTGAAGGCACGTTCCTTCTTTGTTGGCTTTTGTTAGCTTTGGTAGTGTGGCTTGAACTTGCAGCGAACTGAAGAATGCTGGCCTGCTGTACCCCTGTCGGGTCAAGCCGAAGCCTGCCAGTCTCTCCGACTTGCTTGCTTAGCGGATCTGCGTCCGCGTCTGCACCAACGAGTCAACAGAAGGGAGCGTATCGCTGGTGCTTCTTTTGTTGCTGTTCACGTACATTCGTAACGGACTAGTGCTTGCAGTGAACGTGTATGTACTTGTAGTTTTGCTGCCTGTACGCAACGGCATAGCATGTACGCCTGCGAGTCTGCCCGCCTGCAGTCTTGGCTCGCAGGCCGGTACTGCTGCTTGTCCAAGTCCGTTACTTGCGAAGAAAACTTTTCCGCCGCCTCCCCTCCTCCTTCCGTCTTCCGTGCCGCACACCCGTACTCGCTGTGGCCTGCGCCCTGGCTGGACAGATTGGGCCAATGTGTCCCCTCTGCCCAGTCTGGGTGTGATGGCTCCACTCCCTGCATTCGCCACACATGCCTCAGCATCATTAGCTGGCCCGGGATCGCTAAAACGCCATCCCCGCCCTCTCGCTCACAAGAGGTTTCTGTACTCTTTTCTGTCGACCATGTTACACTAGTTCTTGATTGTTCAGCTGTCCGGAGAATCCGTCCAGCATTCTTGTATGGCCTGCCGACCTGCCAGTCTCTCCGACTTGCTTGCTTAGCGGATCTGCATCCGCATCTGCACCAACGAGTCAAAAGAAGGGAGCGTATCGCTGGTGCTTCTTTTGTTGCTGTTCACGTACATTCGTAACGGACTAGTGCTTGCAGTGAACCAGGGTAGGCCGGGTAGGTAAGACGGCGTGTTGTCATTTTGGGCGAGAGGGGAATATCAAATCAAAAACCTGATACATCGCACCCAAGCCCGACAGATTCGCCCATACATTGCATACATGTCGCGTGCCGCGTATGCATCTTCCCGAATCGAAATGTGTACTTGGAATATAGTTGGTGATTAAAACCCATGCGATAACGTTGCCAGAGAAGGAAGAAAAGTAGATGCTTGGACACAACTGCGACGGCTCCCTGGAAAAAACATTTGTCAACGTCAGCCATGCAATTTTGCCAGTTGCCAAGTACAGCAAAAATATTCTAGCTCATGTCCCCCATGCCAATGGTGGCCGGCATAATGCACGTTGACGGCCCGCATTCCAGTGCACAGCGTGCCGACTCAACGTTCATGTGGCAACAAGATTACATACGGTGCCAATGTTTATGGTTGGCGGGTGGGATCCGCTCGCAAAATCAGCACGCTGATAGTCCCAGCTTGTCACACTTCATGCCACAGCAGCACACGTGTGTTATCCACAGGGATTTCGGAACCACATGTCGTAGTTGTTCAGTGACATGCGCTCAGGAAGCGGGGCTAAGTCCTGTGATGCTTGGGATTGGGCTGTGTCAGATTGGAATTGGAGCTTGTGGCTGTTGAACTTCAAAGCGCCTTTGCCGCAACCAAAGCGGTGCACCAAGATACCCATCACGTTGAGCACATTTTTCCGCAGTTCTTGCGTCTTAGCTTCTGTCTCCCCAAGCCGGGTGCAGAGCGTACACAGGGAACAAGTTTCTGTGCATGCACTTTGTAAGAAGGTCATCATGTTGCGACCACACATGGGTTCAATTGAGACGAACGCATGTGGTCGCCATTGAGCCAACTGCCACCGGACATTAACACAGCACCAACCCATGTCACGCGAACTACGGCCAGGCGAGCGGAAAGAGGTGCGAGGGGGAAATATCGAAATCGTTACAAAAACCTACGCCCGAAGACCCGTATGACAGAATCATAAGTATTTTAAGGGGCTTAAGGATCTTCAACAACAGGACGCTGCCGGGTCCTCGCCAACCACTTGGCGCTGACGTTGTGGTGCCGGTGCGGCAGGGACGAACGGACTTGCCAAGGTGTGACAAGACCAGAAGCCCCTGCCTATCCGAACCCTGGCAGCCGAGCATCCCGGCTAGACCGGTCACACAGTCCCAACAGGATTAGGGTTGGCGACGGCCTGGGGAGAGCCGATCGTGTATATCACCTCAATACATCCGTGAAAAGGCACGGCCAGGTTGCGTAACCACTCTGGCGCCTGCTTCCCTGCAGATGCGCGCTGCCGCTTGCTCAAGCTAGCCAGCTCTCCCGGCCAGCACACCGACCTGCAGCGATACACGTCGAAGCCTCCACGATAGGCACAGCGAAGATAAGCAAAGTGCCTCGCCAAGCGGCACGGCCCCGTATGCCACAAAGTCAAAGCGGAGGCAGTCGGCAGGTCGATGCACGGGAAGCGCTGGCGGCGTCGGGCCCACTGCTGGCATCGCGGATGCGGCTCAGCGCAGTAACCAGCGCCGTGCGAACAGCCAAGAGCATGAACAGCGATCTGACGGCGATAACTTGCACATCCTTGCACTGTAGGCACAGGGCTCAGAGTCCGTGGTTGGGGATGTCTGCCCTTCCCGCTTGGTGCTGCCTGCTAAGTCCGCTTGCAGTAGGACCTTCTTGCGCCAACTCGCCGCGGCCGGGAAAACGAGGCATCTGCTGGCGGTGGCGGCCCAACTCGTATGCCATGTCGTTGTCCGAGTTGTGCTGCTTGCGACGTGCTGGCCGGTGACCGCAGGCGCCTCGATCTTGTAGTGTACGGGGCCACGGCTCGGGGGTCACGGCTCGGGGGCCACGGCTCGGGGGCCACGGCTCGGGGCGGAGCGTTGTGTTGCGACGCAAGGTTTGTCTCCCCACTAGCACAAGAAGGGCGCCCACCCGCGAGCTACGCGAGTCGTAAGCGGGCAACATACCCAGAGCTGTGCCGCCACGGCCGCACAAGCTTGCGGCCCGCCACGTGCCAAGCTAGCGTCCACAGATGGACGCTGGCGGCGCAGCGCGCGTACGCCTCGTCACTCCTTGAGCTCCCGCTTGTAAGCGCGGAGCAGGGCGAGGGCGACGCGCCTCCCTTGAAGGACCTTTTGAGCAGGTCCCCAACAGCCGCCTCCCCGCGGCCTAGGTGAACGTAGGAGCCCCCCGACCTGGACAACCTCCTGCGGACGCAAAAAGGAGTGGCAAAAAAAAAAACTCATTGGGGTGGCACGCCTTCCTCGCTTGTCGAGCCCAGCCCACAGACGCAGCAGATCAAAACGCCCCGGCATGCCCCGGCGGCGCGCAAGCCACGCAAGCGAACGAGGCTGTGGACGAAGCCGACCGCGTCCTCATTCCGCCGGCTACCCGCTGCCGACCGACACAATGAGTTTGTACAGGCCGTGGCACAGCTCCAGGTATGTTTCCCGCTTATGCACGCTTACGACTCGGAGCGTTGCACCGCACCACAGCCCACCCCGCCCCCACAGATGCGGACGCCCCTGCCCTTTCCTCGCTGAGGGTAGCGTAATATATGTGCATTGGGTCAGCCCTGGGACGCGGCTGCAAGAAGGAACGTTGAACAAAAACACTGTCATATTTTTGTAGACAAGCATGTGTGTGTCCATCGTGTTGAGCTTGAAGTTTTGCGATACAATATTAACTCCGCTGAGTTCGGCGAGACGCGTGCCAGAGCTGCATGAGGTTTTGGCCGACTCGTGGCGTGACGAGTGACCAGCAGCAGACCGTCAGTAGCCTGACTTCGGTGGACATGAGACCTTCGCAGACATAAAGCAGGCCGCAACTCCAGCCAACCGTTTTGTTTGGATTACATGTATTGCCGTTGACTTTGTGCCAAACTTCATGCAGTGGATGCAATGCAAGAACGAATGCTTCGCTCTGTGGTGAGCAGAATATGCAGAATGGCACAAATCGATGACTGGGATGAAACTGCTGCTGTCCCAGAGTGGTCCCGGCGCGACCTGCGCAATGACCGCCATGCCCACAGGACCGAATTTCGCCGTCGCCAGCGACGAGTTCCGTTCAGCGTGCGCTCAGGCAGGGGAGCGAGCTGCGGCTTGCGTTTGCCGAGTAGCACCGCCCGCCGGCACTGCACTACGCGACATGACTCGCTATTGAGGGTTCTGGCTCAGCGTGATCGTGTTTGATGACAGTTACATGTAAACAAGCTTCGCCCCAGAAGCTAGAAAATATTCTCCAGCTTTCGGTGTGAGGGCGCCCCCAGTGCCCTCAAAACGGACGAGGAATTGGGCCTCCAGAGGCCTTCTGCGTCGCCACCGCGTCCTCCACGCTTTGGTGCATATGGGCCTGTGGCAAGCAGCGCGCGGCACCGCAAAGCGACACGAGCATCAAGCGAGCCGTGTTCGTACCGCTCCTCCATGCCGCGGCAGGCGCGCTGACACAGGCAGCTACACACATGACTCACACATGATTGGCCATGCCATCCCCACATTCGTGTACGCTTTGCAGAGATGGCAGGTGTGTTACGGCGAGCGCCCGCGGCGCAGCCTTGTGCCATTCTTCGCTTCCCTCACGCCGAGACACCCTTCCCACGAAGCGGCATCCGCCCGTCGCTTCTGCGGCTCAAGCGTTGGCAGAGGGTGTGCGGCGCACTCGCACAGGCGTTGAGACGTGTACGAGCCCCAGACGCTGCAGACGGGGGCGCCGCGCCCGATGCGCACGGGACGGTCCCAGCCCCGCGCCAAGGCCGGCTGACGTTAACCCGGCGAGTGACGACAACAACGATCACTCAATGCCAGTTTGGCGGGATCGACCAGCTGTGGCCGATGTTGAAGCGTCCTGGACGACGCGCCACCCAGCTATGGCGGACGAGTGCGATGGCACTAAGCCGCCTCTGCACATTCAGGGCCTTGCGTGACGCTTTGGCTGCACATGCCAACATCGATGTGCACTTGGGTAACACGAGGGTTTGGAATGCAGGGGGTCGAGACTGCAGACGCGGTGCCCGCTGATCCGGACCGCCCGCCCTCATGGGTGGGCGATTGGACTCTCCCGGCCGAACAGCAAGGCATGGTGGTGCTGGGCACGCCGCTCGGGAGCTACGCGTTTGTAGAGGCCAACTTACAATCCAAATTGCCCCACAAAACGTTTTGTCCAAACTCCCCTCCGTCCCGGGTCTGCAGGTTGCGGTTGTTGCTCCTCATGTGCGCGGCTCCCCGCTGCCATTACTTACTCCGCGCGCTCCCGCAGCTTCCACTGCAGCTTTCGCCCGTCAGCACGAGGAGGACCTCGCATGCCTGCAGGAGTTGCTGGCCAATGACGGGCCGCCGATGTGGGAGGCCAATGCCACGGTGGGGCGATCAGGTCTCGACTCGACTCGATTCGTGCTGGCAGCATGTGTGTGTCGGCGGACGTGTCTCTCGCAAGCGTCGAATTGCATAAACATGGAGGGAGGTGCATTTTTGTATTTATTTTCTCGGCTGTTTTCCCGCAAGCGATTCGCTATGTACAAGGCCACTCCTCGTCGAGTGCCCCGCTGCGCCGCCGCTGCCTCATGGGCGGGCTGGAAGACGGCTGTTAGTCACCGGGAAGGCATGGGGGCAGGCGATGTACTTGCCAAGAACGCAAACAGGTCTTCGCCTGGTTCAAAGGAGGAGTGTGCAGCCCACAACGCCTGCTGGATGCCCACAGCGAATAAACCGGGCATGAGTCCCTTTCGCCGCCTTCCGACTGCAGTACGGAGTGAGCAGCGCCCGATGCATCATAAAATGAATACGCGCTGTCGCCAGCGTAGAAAAGGCGGACCAGGGTGCCCCGCTTGGCTTGAGCAGCGCCACCATGCGCCCCAAGCGTAGGCCGGCAGCGACTGCGCCAGACGGTGCGCGGCAGTGACGAGAAGATACGAGAAGGTCGCAACAGTTTTCATCGTCAAGTAAGACCCGCACTTTGCAAATTAGCACGCAGCTTTGCGGAATCGACGGCCAAGGGGGGGGGGTCCAACATAATTGGCTCCGATGCCCAATCCCCGTACTCCGCCGGCAGATGTGCTCGGCCTCCCTTTTCAGCTCCGCAAGGGTCATCGATGTCAGCCGTTTGGGTAGTGCCGCTGTGGTGTCCTGGCATGGGAGGGGCGTGGGAAAGCGGAGCGGGCGGGTTCAGCTCATTGGGCTAGCTGGCGGCCGACAGTTCCCACAGATGTGCCAGGGCCGCTGCGCACTGCCTGTGCAGCTTCCGCCAACAAGTCACCCCCTGCCGTGCAAGTTGCGCCGGCGGCAGGGTGGTCTGGCCCCGCGACCGATGCAATAACAACACTCGACCGCTTCTGGGCAGTACAGGCAGTGCATCCGCCCATGCTGCCCAGTAGGTTGCAGGAGAGATGCGTTCCGCACGCAAGAGGCCCCGACCCCCAAGGAAGGCAGGCAAGAAGGCAATGTTCCGGGCTTGAAAAATATCATGCGCAGGTCTGGCGACGATCGGCCACCACTTCAGCATCAACACAACCACAGGGGCAATCTGCTCCTCCAACGGGGGCAGCGGGGGCAGCGAGTGCAGCAGGCAATTGCACCGGCCGGCAGCAGCGGCTGCGACCGATCGTTCAACACACTACGCAACAACATGCGCCCGCCGGCAGCCCGGCAAGCCTTGATGTACCAGAAGGCTTGTCAAAGGATAGCGCCCCAAATTGGATTCTCAAGAAAGCGCTAAAATAGGCTCCGAGATAGGAGGACGCTGGAGCACTGCTGCGCAGCACTTTGTTCGCGACCTCGTCCGGCTCCGCGCTCTACGTGCGCCGCCTGCCGTGCGCGCTGCGGCGTCCTCCGGCTGGGCAAGATGCTGGTGGGGAGCCCTTTCCGTTGCGGCTCACCATGGCGAGCACAGCCTTGGGCCGAGCGTGGCCGGCTGCGCCACTGCCTGGGCCGAGCGGCGGCCCTGCACTGGACCGCGTGCTCGAATGAAGGGCCTACACCCGGTCCTAACTAATGTATTGCGTGGGGGCCCGTACGTCCACTGAATACACCCTCGTTTCGGAAATGTATTTCAACCCCAGGGTCATAGGAGGGGGATATTCATGCTAACTTGTCCGGGTCGCAGTTGGAACATTGAGAGAGGCAATCGAGATACCTTTTCTTTCAACCCCAGGGTCATAGGAGGGAGATTTTCATGCTAACTTGTCCGGGTCGCAGTTGGAACATTGCGAGACGCAATCGAGATACCTTTTTTTTGTATGCTTATAAAATCAGTAACACAATATCCCCGAAGAAACATACATACATATATACACATATACATATATATACATGTGTTAAGTGCTGGTGTTTGTTGATTGGGAAATTCGGTGGAGTGCGGGCGGCTGCACGGAATGTATTTCTAGGAGGGGCGGGGGGTGAAATGCATTTTCCGGCACATGTAGGGTCCCTGAAAGCCCATAAAGCCCACCAGGGTAGAGGTGTGCGAAGTGTGGACATGTCTTGCTACCAAAACCCCACACACCCGAAGAAAACAAGGCAAATACAAGATAGGATGGGGAGATGCGGCAGCTGGCCGACGCATACAACCACTCATACAGCGAGTGATCGAAGGGAGGCCGTGAGCAGAGAAAACAGATACCGAGGTGCACCTCAAGTGTCTCCTGAAGTATCTTAAACTTGGAAAATTTGTTTGGTTCGTAAGCCTGCACAACTCCGAAATCTGACCGATTGTAACCTACATTTATCCTATATTCAGGAAACCTAGGAACGTCGTTCCGACCCTCGCAATGCATTTCTCATCCCTACTCATTCCCACAGAGAATAATGTATTAATTGGGGGGGGGGGGCGAAAAATCACTTAGAACCATCCCTGAAGGGCCTAGCCCCTGCGGCCCTAAACCGGGACCGCCCGTTGTGGTAGTAGTTCGACCAACGTAGCTCGGGCACCGTGTTGCAGTCGGGAAAGGCCGAGGGGAAAAAAAATGAAAGCCTGTCCACTACCATCGAACACTTGGCCGTTGTTTTTTTTGGTTGGGTCACTGTTGGGTCACTTGGCTCCGCAGGGTGGCTCCAGAAACGCGCAAAAAAAGGACAAATGCTGAAACGTCGCATTGAGTTCATGGCCAACGGGCTTCCGTTTGCAACTGACGGCGGCTTTCCCCCCTTCCCATCACACGCGCAATTGCACAGCGCTGCCTCCAGCTTCCAGGGCCCCCTCCTTTGCATACACGTGCTCTGCTGGTCCCGCACTTGTCATTTGCCGCTGCGAGCCTTTGGGTTCCACGTCGCTATCCCCCCTGCGGTCACGGCAACGTAGGTCGACATCCCGTGACATTTTACTTCTGAGCAAATGTCCTTGCTGATTGCCCGGCCCCTCCTCTCGCAAGCCGCAATCCCAGTGAGCTCTTCGCACCCTGTGCCGCCTGTGTAGCTGAGACCATGCTGGATGTTGCAAGAGGGGGCGCAGACAAAAAACAAATATCCAACCAGTAGGATGGATGCACATGCGTGTGAGAAACTTTTGATACACATGCTTTGCTCGAAGGAAAGCGGAAGTTTAGGATACGGATCGGGGTATGTGTTGATTGGGTCCCGTTTTGGCCCTGGGAACACGAGTGCGGGACTGAGCATTCTGTGAGATTCTGCTGTAATCCATTTTTCAAACCGTTTTATTGGAACCCGCAGAGTTGTCGGGTGCAAAGCGTAGGGATGAGGGATTTAGACCATCTATTGAAGCTCTTGGAAAATCTGGCGAAAGTTGCTTACGACTAGCCCGGGGCTCCGGGGGCGTGCCCGAAAATCCGGAAAAATCTATTTTTTTCTAGCTTTTTCTAGGTTTTTTCTAGGTTTTTTCTAGGTTTTTCTAGCTTTTGCTAGCTTGTGCCAGCTTGCGCTAGCCTTCCCTAGCCCTCTTTTGGGTTCCTTTTTCCATGATGGACAAAATCTAGATTTCCGAAAGCGTTCCAAAGAAAAGCAGTGGAAATCTGAGAAAGCTAGGTTAAATTAGGAAAAGCTAAAAAGAGCTAAGCAAAGCCATGACAAGCTGGGGTAAGCTACAAATTTGCTTGGGTGAAGTATGCCTGTTTTGTTGGTGCTGCAAAGCTAGTCAAAAATCTCAGTCATCGGTCGGACGGGGTGTGGGGTTTGGGTATGAGGCTTGTGTGGCCTAGTTATTCTTTTCTATGCAAAAAGGAATATTGTTTCCTAAGAGTCAGAAGTCAACTTGGTTTTCTTCCCTGGCTCGCTAAATCCTTCCTGCCCTCGGGCACAGATCCGCTACGAAAGGAGGCGATCAACAGATTACCCGATACGTTTCAATCAGGAAGGTGTGCAGAGCACGCCGCCACAGCGAAGATTGGGGGTACTGGCGTAAGGATCCATGTGGTTGATAATGTACTTGCCAGCACGTTTCATGTGTGCAGCGCTACTAGCAGGCATGCCGCAGTGAAAAAGGCCATATGTACAGCTGCCCATTTTTAACCAAGCAGGAAGTGGGAGTTGTAGCGAGGATGGTGCGCAAGGAATCCCGGGCAGTAAAGGAGAAACTGTCATCAGGATCCATGCGCTTGGAAGCCTTCAAGCAAACAAGGCTTTGCAAGTTTCATATCGCCGGAAATTGTGTTCGTGGAACATCTTGCAACTTCGCCCACACCATTGACCAGATTCGCGATCAGCCGGATTTTTCGAAGACACGTTTGTGCGCAGATTACCTGCAGGCGCAGTGGTGCAGGGATGGGCAATATTGCAAGTTCGCGCATGGAGAGAATGAGCTGCGCCCGCACCCGTCGGTCAAGAACAAGGAGCAGACAAAAACCAAGTCGGAGGAGAAGCCTGTGACATGGTACGCGGATGTTATGGAAGAGGGATGTGAGGGATGGTACTTCCTGCCCGACGGCATGGACGCGGTGATGTATCCTTGGTATCCTGGCTACACCTTCACCGAGTACCCTCTCGTGCAAGATGAGTACGGGTGGGATACGACAAGTCAACAAAGCACCGACTGGACTGAATGGAACACGACATCAAGCAACCACAGCACCGTTTGCATGGAGAGTCCAATTCAAAGCTACTTTGCGCGGATTATATGGCACAGCACAAGCAGAACTAGATTGAAGTAATCAGCTTTGACATGTTCATTCGGTGGCGGAGTCCTGTGTCAACGCTGTCACGTTCAGGGTTTGGCCAATAATCGAGCAAGGTCACGTGATGGCTGCGCCTGCCCTTCCTGATGAACCTCTCCTGCTCGATTCGATCGGTGCGACGAACCAATTTTCAGATGAGTTGCGAGCTTGCAAGATGATGGCGCCTTTACCTTGTCAACTGATGTAGTGGGCGAGATTGCTTAGATGGGCAAAAACAGATGAAACAGTGTAGGCAGAAGTAACCTCAGAATCACAACGGGTTTGCTTCTGAACATCCAACTAGGATGGCAAAAGGCTCGCATGTGACGGGTATGCTTGTCAGATCTTGTCAGTACATGGTCGTTCATGTGCATTATGCAGCGTGAGGTTGAAAGTCAAAAACACCTTCCTGCACATTGACATCGACGAAGACTTTGACCCGGAGGCGGTTAAGACGGAACTCAGACTTTAATGAATCATTCTCATTCTGGTGCAGGAAACGCCACCTGCTTCCCTTGCTTCGCTTCGTCGCTCCCCAAGCGCGCCTGGTCGCCTCATGGCGCTATTCCTGGGTGCCTTGGCTCCTTTTGGCACAAGCTGGCAGGAGTAAGTTTGCGTAAAGATCGCTTAGTCCTTTGCTTAGGAGACGAAGATGAAGACTAAGCGATAGCTGGAGACACCAGTTCTGGCGGGCAGCTTCCCACCATTTATGTCGAGGGCCACCGGCCATTGGCCGTTGATACCCCGCACGGTCCTCACAACTTGGATGACAGATTTTGTATGCAATGTTTTTTTTTGTCAGCACTTGTACATACTGATGATTGAATGCATCATACAGACCTGCTGTGCTCGACCATTTCGATGTTGTGCACAAGTCACCTGCTCAGCTGCTGCCTGGCACCGTTCCATGAAGTGGCAGCTACAGATGAGCGCAGTGGGGTTGCATGACCTGAGTTACCCTGAGTTCCAATCGCGCTGTCCCGTTTGAAATGCAAGGCCCATGCATGCCGTTCCGGCTTGTGAATGCAAAATTAATCATGACAATCTCATCATGATGCGAATGGTGCTTGGGCTAGATATCTTGGCATGTTTCTGTTCAGATTTGGCTCGAGACCTGCACGTGTCAAGTCATGAAAGCTGTGGTTCATGGCTACCATGGTGGATGCAAAGTTTTCCCTGGAAGCAGTGACACATCCCATCCGTGCTCTTGGGAGGGGCGCCTTCGGTGAGGTATTTTTAGTGCGAGCAGTGGCACTCGAGGTGCCTTTGCTGACTACTGCGGAGACAGAGAGGTTATTTAAGAAGCATTGGAAAGAATATGCACTGTGCCTTGGGCCTCCCGAAAAAAAAAGATCCAACATACCAGGCCACCTCGCCATCTGGCGCCTGCTTAGCATTGAGACCTGGACGCATTCTGACGAAGTGGCTACTGGAGACTAGCTGTCATTGCTGTGTGTTGACTCGAGGAAGCGTGTGCGCTTGAAAATGTCCGAAGCCGGCTGGGGCAAAGCAATGCTTGAAGCGCAACTTCTGTGGAATCTCAGCCAGGACATGCAGCATGCTTTTGGCTGTGTGTGTGGACCATGGGCTCTGGCACCACTGATAGGAGAACCCATACATCCTTCAGTGCTATGACTTCCGCATGCTGCAAGAACCCGTGCCCTCTTTGGAGCTGTTGTTGGAGATGCTTGGCCGAAAGCTTATGCTACAGGGTAATCAATCACTTTATCTCGCATCGCTTGCTACTTGTAGAATTCTACAAGTAGCAAGCATTGGGCAGCGTCCACGTTGGGGAACCACACTTCGGTCGGCTCACGTTGTATCCCGAATCGTGAGGTTTGCATGTGTATTCATTTTAGAGTTTTTCTGTGCAATTGTCGTTGAATAAATCAGCTTTTGTCCTCACATGCCTTTTTTCGTTGTCAGAGCGTCGCCAGGTCAGAGGGCTAGGGGCTCGATGTGAGTCAATTCCGCTCCTTGTAGCTTGTGCACAGCCTTGTCCATGTTGCCTGCCAGTCTTTTCTTGAGATGGTGGAGTGAATTGTGACATGTTGGCATGTTGAGACGCGCGACTTGAAGCCTGCTTCAGTACCGAGCTTTTGGCATCATGAATGCGTAGGCTGTCGACGCCCAAAACGCAAAGCTCTGTAAGTGTTGACTCTCTTTGTTGAGAGTTGACGAGGTTGGCAAGTGTCCTCGTTTTATGACTTTCCTGCGATTGCTTGAGTGGAACGTCTGCATTTTCGATGGCGACATGTTAGCTGCTACTGCTAAGCTTGGCCTTACAGGTTTGCAGCGTTGGGCGATCTTTGCCGGCGGCTCCGGCAATGCAAAGAGGCTCCGACAGGGACATACTAGAAGAAGCTTGCATCATGCCAGCATCAGATGTGGAAACTCTTACGACAGAGCGCCTGGCGAGGCAGAGCCTTCCTGTCCATTGCCTGAGCCCGAGATGCTGAACTACACCTTGGACGTGGCACAGGGTTTGGCCTTCTTGTGGCTTGGCATGGCATTCTCTCCAGTTTCAGAAGGCCTGGAGCAGGTCACCGGGTTCATTGACGCACTGCCAGGTTTGATGCTCATGTGTGCGTGTTGTTGTCTTGTGTTATGCATCTTGAAAGGTATGGAACGTAAGGAAAGACCATAGCGTTACTGTGCATTTGTGCCAGAAATGAATGTAAAAAGAGCGTTGCCCTTCGACGACTTGCTGATGCCTGCAATGACGAACCAGCGCAGGGGCGAGTGGGCTGCCTGGGCGGCACATTCTTAGGGGCGTAGTACTTCGAAAAGAGCTGACCATATTTTGCGAGGGTGAGTTTTCTTTTTCGAAAATAGAATATATATATATATATCTATATATATATATATGTTTTGTACAATATTTCTGTATCTGTATATACACACACACACATTGTTTTTTCACCCGTTCTTTTTCAGGGTTGGTGGGGTAGGAAGAAAGGTTTTCCCTCTGCTGAGGAGGATATCTCTAGTTCTCTCTATTTTAAGAGGAGAACCTTGATTTTCTCCTGTTTTTCTACTAGGAAACCTCTATGCAGAGGGGCCTGGGGCTGGCGAGGGTTGAGGAAGAATAGGACGGAAAGACAGAAGGAAAGAATACCGGAAAAGAGAAGGAACACAACAAAATCAAAGAGCAACATTCGGAAAACAAATCTCCACCCCTGTTTTACTGCAGAATCCGGCCTTGGGATGCGTTGTGATGCGACGCTTGGCACGGTGCACCGCTTTGTTGAAGTGGTGGACGGTTGTATGTTGGATGTTCGACTTCTCAGGCACGGTCTTCGGCCCAAGGTCTTTCACCGTGACGTGAAGCCAGCGAACATCATGAGCCCTGGCTGCAGAGAGCTGGGTCAGGTACTTGTCGGTTTGAGCCTAAGCCTTTGCCTCATGGAAAGCAGCGCGAAGGTTATGCTACCCGTCAAGCAAGACAACCGACATGCCACAAGCCAAGCTGGCCGATTTCGGTGTCGCAAAGGCACAGCTAATCGTGGTCGTTATTGCGCATGGTGGCGTGCACGTTTGAGTGTGTGTGTGTGTGTGTGCACGTGCGGACCTCCTGGGTGAATCGAGAGCTTCTCAGGGGTTCACTCGAACCCAGGCTGAAAGATGCTGCGTTCTCTAAGTTGGCATGTGGTTCTTTCTGCCGTTTTGTGGCAGCACAGTCTCCTTTTATGTCATACGTGTCATGTAAAAACCGACCTGTTGGCGAGGGATGGCAAAGGTAGACCTCGCAGAGGATATATTGATGCAGTTAGAGTTCGTGTAAAGGAGTACTCGGATCATCGAGAGAAGGTCTTGGTAAGAGAGATTGCCCAAGAAACAGGAGCAATAGAAGGCTCCAATTCCGCATGATCCACGGAGGGGTGGGTCAACCTGCTATTTGTAGGTCATGCGTTTCGGGGCTCATAAGCGAAAAGCGGTATGCGCTTTCCATAACCACCCCCTTTGCCCCTGCACAGATAGAGGATGATAAAGTGTATCATTATTCTTGACAGTCATGAGTTTGAAATGCAGATTCTCTTGCGCAGCGGGGCACCTTAGAAAGGTTTTGTCTGGCCTCCGTAGTTAAGCGGTGGAGAGCCCTACTCGTACTGGCCTGGGGGACCGGCTGGCAAACGCTTAGGGTGCTGTCAGATTCTGCTCTATGGATGCGATCATTGTCACCTATCCGTCCAACCGTCCAAACCAGCAACAGACAGCCCCTCATGACATCAGCCAGTTTTCCCGTTGCAAGAATCTTTCCGCACGGTGTTGTAGCTGTGTGGTCTTGATTCTTGGCTTGTCAAGCAATTTGCTGCTGTGATTATTGTTGCGCGCATGTTCAAGCTTGTTTTCAATGAGCGTGAAAGAGCAAAACTTAAGTCAGGTTCGTTTCCAGCTTTCAAAAAATTCTTTTGGAATGGAGCATCTGATCTTCGCTATGCAAACTAGATTTGCTTCATGTTTGTTCCTTGCTGAAATTTACAAAGCTGATGTTGCAGATCTTTTGATCACACATAATCGAGGAATTCGTGATTAACGGGTTATTTCCATATCTTCCTTCTTGGTGTTAGGTTTTGTTTCTGGATTTTTGTTCCAAATTGTTTTGGCCTCAGCGCGCTATTCCAACACCGAGTTGTGCAGATCCACTCAGAACGGATGCACTGGGTGTACCCATCCAAAAACTTGAAAGACCTATTCTCTGCCACGTTTTCGTGGCACCAAGCGATCCAGGAGCACGATATCGTCGTGGTTTGCCCGATGTACGATGTGACACATGGAGCGATGCAAAAACCTGGGTTTGGCAGATCTGAGATGTCGACCCCAAATGCGCCCCGCGCTTAAACACGAGATGACACGAGATGACGCGAGATGACACGAGAGTCGTACGCTCGCCGGACCACATGCCGCCGCGCGGCACCCACCAAGCAGGAACTCGGAACCATGCAACAAACCTACCACAACCCCCAAATTAGAATCAACACACAGAGAGCTGGAAAATCATGGCAGTTTCAGCATGTGCTGTCCACAGCTTCAGAATCTGTCGTCATGCAAGATAGGCAGCACAGCAGTTGTGGGCTTGAACTTGTCGCCAAATGTCGTGCGAGTGTGAGAGTCGACATTTGGCAGGTTCTGGAGTCAGAAGCTTCAAGCGCTGGAACAGCCACTTTCATCGGAACACCCCATTATTTGTCTCCGGAAGTATTTCGTGGTGAAGTCTACGATGAACGCGCAGATGCTTGGGCTCTGGGGTGCGTGATGTACGAAATGATCTGTCAAGTGCGGCCGTTCCATCAATTTGAGATAAACGTTGCACTGCTTTCTTTGCGAATTGCCCAGGGAGAGTATGATCGTGATCTGTTGCGGCAACATTCCAAGCAGCACGCAGAGACAATCTTGCAAATGGTAGAAGGGCTCTTGCAGCCAAAGCTGGAGGATCGGCGAAGAGCAGCTGATCTTATTCCACTTTTGTCGTGCCGCGACCGAAGTCAAGCAAGTGCATCAAGTGCCCCATCTTGTTGGAACGAAGTGCCGACCGACCCAGAGCCTTCTGAAAGTGCCGGTGCGTTCGCTGCGTCTGCTGCATCGAGATCATTCGACAGCGACAGCTGGCACCATGCTGAGATACCGACAAACATGACAGGTGGTGGTGCCTCGGAGTGACTGATTTTTCTTTCATTTCTAGCAAGACGACAGTCAAGGCATGCAATTGCAAGGATAGGGAGTGTCTGGCCTGTGAGTTGCTTTGAATTGTCAAGAAGCTGCCAGGAGATTGGCTTACAGGTGCTGAGAATGTTCCGTGTAGCATTGGCAATATTCGGACCCTGCGCATTGGAAATACATGTCTTTTGGCCAGAGCTTTCACGTGCTTGCAGGCATGACTGAGCTGGAGGCTGCATTGCAAACCAGCCCGTATACGTTTGGAATGCAGGGCCAGGCAGGAAATCACTTTCTTGAGGTTGTGTCCTTGGTCTTCTGCTGAGCAGAGTATATGCGACGCAGGTGCTGACAATGCGGCCTGAAGCTCATGAGTCGCGCTTTGGTGGTATGGATATCCTTGATTCGCAGCATCTTATCTCAACTGTCAGGTTTTGCAGCTCCACCCTCGGAATTTGCCCGATAGGGTCGCTACATTTGTAGTGCGAAGCTCCCCCCTCGCTGCCTCCTCCCCCCTCTCCCAATCCTCCTCCCCCCTCCCCCCCCTCCCCCCCCCCCCCCCTCCCCCATACCCCCACATGGGGTTTGACATGGTTTGACATTCAGTTTACGTCTTCGTTTCAGGGTTTTACGGGCTATTGGGTATTTTCCTGTTCTCCTCCTCCCGTTTTCTGACCCACAGTCCTATGCTCTGTCTCTTGCCCGTGCCGTTTTCTGACTCCGACCGGCCCGTTTTCTGACTAGGTCTTTTCGTTATCTGACTCGGCCCATCCCGTTTTCGGCTCGTTTTTTCCGACTCGCCCGTCACCCGAAAACTGGCTGCTGCCGACTGCGCAGGACAGGTGGTGGGAGGCGGCTCGAGGGGAGGCTAGGCATGAGGGGGCAGATGTTTGCTGCGACGTACCCCATGGAAGGTAGTTGCCGTGGCACATTGGGCGTGTGAGGTGAATCCAACTAAATTGAAGCGACGTTTCAACTCGTGTTCGGGCTCAGGTATGCTGTTGGAGCCACTGATGTGGCCACCATTGCAGATTGCCGTCCAGCCAATGCCAGCCAGCCGGAAAAAGAAGTTTCATCTTCATGCTGCCTTCAGTTGACGTTGAAAGGACTCTGCTTACCATGTCCTTGTGCAAATGTGATTCACGTGATGATGTCTTTGTGTTTGGCTTCTAAAGATATGGAGCCACACAACCGCCGGCTTGCCAGTTGGAGAAGGTCTGGGCAAGAGTGTTGTTTTTTCGGTTGCGGGTGCTTTTTCGTTGCGAGTGCGGGGCACGTTCTTTTTTTGCTGCGGGTGCGGGGGCGTTCTCACTTTTATAATGCGGGTGCGGGGGCGCGTTTTTGTTTTTGCTGCGGGTGCGGAAGCGTGCGTGGTTCTTTTGCTGCGGGTGCGGGGGGTTCGGGGGCTTCGGGGGGTGGGGGGTTACGGGGTGGGAGGGGGGCCTTTTTTGTGTATCATTTTTCTGCTGGTGCGGGGGGGGGGGGGGGAATCGTTTCTTGTGCTGCCGGCGAAGAGGTGTACATTGCATGTCCATAAAGAACATCATAAAGGAGTTAGACTTCTTTCGCAAAAAGGCAGCGAAGTGCGGGCGCCGTGCCCTGTAGCCTCTAAACCTTAGCCGCCTAGCTGTCCACCCCTTCCCCCTCCGGAATGTGGAACTTGTACAATTCGTCTCGTCTACTGGTTTCTGGCTAATCAACTGCCTGGTGCATAAACCCTCTGCGAAACGCTAGGCTGTAAGATGAGGGTTTTATTGTCCACGTATATGGACCGAAATAAAGGTACGCTTTCATATGTTTTGAAGCAACTTGCGCGACTTAAACCAAAAAGGGGTTGGCGGGGAACGCAGGCTCCCGCCCCACCCCCTCCATTTGCAAACGCAATGCCGCATGATGGGCTTGGAGCGGATTCATCTGCTTTGGCATGCTTGCATGGCTCAAACGAGCAGGGGTCCTTTCATTGCAAACATAATGCTCGCATGATGGGTTTGGAAAAGATTGCAAACACAATGCCAGCATGATCGGTTCGGAATGATTCAGAATTTGCAAGGAATGCTCAATGATGAGGCGGGATTCCTTGAAGCAAGACTTGCGCAGCTCAACAACAGCGGGATGGGGAGGAGGGGGCACAGCCCCACATTTGCTAACACAATGCTCGCATGCTGGGTGCGGAAAGAATTCATATGCTTTGAAGCAATCTGGCATTATTTTAAAACGCGGGGGGAATGCTCGCATGATGTGTTTGGATTGTCTGCAGGTGGGGCGGGGGCGTTGTTGTTTTTGCTGCAGTTGTGTTGTTTTGTTGACTGCGGGTGTGGGGACGACCCGCAGCCAAAAAGCATCCGCAACCGCGTCGTGTGACTGTTGCTGCGTGTTGCTTCGTGTTCTGTCTGGCTCGGGCTTTGAGCATCCTAGACGATGCAGCCGCGATTTTCAGGCGAAGACCGCCTTCTCTTACAACGGTGCAACTTCAATGCTAGTCGCTCTTAGCTTAGACCTGCCTGGATTGTTTGGTGGAAGTTCTTCGCTGTATTCGCTGTGCTCCGTGCTTGGAGGCACAAATCAAGTCTACGCATGCGCCTCAGCACAGTCAAGTTCAGACCTGCACATGGCAAATTTGCTTGAATATGTGCGCTGCAACGCGTGCCTTCGTTAGTTTGAGAGAGAGCCGCTGGCACGGTGCCACGGCAGATCCCTTGCTCAATCCAGCGCATGTGCAGCCACTCAGAGCCCGGCGTTACCATCGCCATCATGATGGTGCGCCATGGAGCTCGACCAAAGCCAAGAAACGGAAGAGCATCCTCTGGGGGAAGCACGCAGTGAGAAGGCAGGGAGAGATGGGAAAGATGCGGACAGGTCCAGAGGTCAAGAGCTCCTTAAGGTGCTTGCTCTTATGAGAGTCATGAGAGAGAAGCTGTGGAGGCCAGTGTCCTGGTCCCCGCTATTCCATCTACCCCTGGGCAGCCGGAGTGGAGACAAAGCGTGAGGGCTTCAGTGGAGCTGGGACAAACAGGTTACGCTGGAACCCTGGCAGTTTCATTGTTGCATGAGCTAGCCAGGTTGATTTATCTGGCTTTTGCCTTTGGAGTATCGTGTCGTAGGTGTGGGGCGCGCAGAGTTGCATGCGCATGCGTGTGTGCGTGTGATGCGTGGGTGCACGTGTGTGTTTGGTTTGCATGTGGGGTGTCTGCGCCACTTAATTGCACAGTCAAGGAACAAGTCAGTTCTAGAAAGTCGCTGTGAATTTTGTTTGCATACACCTGCTGTTTTCCTGAATTTAACTGGCGCGTCAACCTACTTTCGGACAAGCTGGGCTGGGATTTGGTCTAGACGCTGTAGACATGAAACAAACTCCGCCATCAGAGCATGTATCGCAAATCTGAAAGTGTGTGGGTTTTGCCTCCGCCTGACATCTTTTTGCTTTGAGGAGAGGGCGTCCGTGGCGAGATTCAGGATTTGGCTGTTCGCCTCAGTTGTGCGCTCGGCGTGAGCGTGAGGATGTGCAAATAACGATGAGTATTAGCGTTGCCGCGTGCAAAGTGTTATGTCAGGTCATAACAGCTGCTGCCGTGGCTAAGGTCAAGGTTCAAGCTCCGAGCAGGTCCTCACGTTGCACAGGCTTTGTGATGCTCTCGTCCATGGAGGACCTGCTTCAGTATGCTTCATACATGTGCTTTTGTACTACAGCTCTGCCCAGATTTGCCCTTGCCAAAAACTTCCTAGGGCATGATGCAGCCGAGCGTGCCTGTGCTGCGGGTGCCGTGGAGGCTGCCTTAAGGGCGGGAATGCGAAGGTGGCAGATCTGAAAGTCTGAAAGTGGAGGCGTCGCTTGGGCTGCTTCGCTCATGCGACGGCATCCTGGCTGACATTTTGTTTGTTCATTGTCCGGAGCCGCGTCCGGGCCATCGTTTCGGGACGCCGTTCGAGATGTTTTCTGCGCTTCCAGGGCTCATTGGACTTTTTCCAGCTTTGCATCTACCATCGTTCCACACCTTTGCTGCAGGGATATGATGGGATATTCCGTAGCTGGCAGACGCTCGCCACCGCAGTAGGGCTCAACGCATCAATTAAGAGGTGAGCCACCTCACTCATTCACAAAGCCTTATGTGCGATCCGGCGTCGGGCCAAGGTGAAGGGCCTCTCCTTCTGCGCACCGTGGAAGCCTTGTGGTACATGGTCGATGACTGCGAGAGCTTCCCCCTTGTCTTTTTGTTGCTGCTGCACTCCGTCGATGTTGCCGTTAGCATGCTGACATGTGGCTTGTGGGTGCTGGCTTCAGGTTGCCAGAGAATTATGGACATGAATGGCCATCAGCTTCTATGCAGACTCGCTCGGAAGTTTGGCCAAGAAAATCCTGATGCCGCAGGAGCCATATTCCGACTGTTGGCTGACACTCTTTGGCAAGCCTCCCATGATCTTTCGTTTTTGGTTGCTAGGGGTGTTGCAGTTTCTTTTGCGGTTTCTGAAGCTGAGGAGACCCTTTACAGCGAGCCGAGGCCACGACCAGTGCAGTTGTGCGGCAGACTGAAATCGGATGTGCCAAGACTTCTCGTGTGGAGGTCGTCTCAGGTGTGGGGGGCAGAGCTGGATGCCCACCTTCTGGCCAGCGTGATCAAATGGGCAGTTCAGGAAGCAGGCTGCAGTGTGGCTCTCAGGCCCTCCTACTGCAGATTTGCATGCGGAAGCACTTGTGTAGACTCAGTGTAGACTCTGTGGAGCATGTAGCAGCGCCGTAGTAGGGTGTCATGTAGCGTCAAGTTGGAACGCAAGCATGAGAACATCAGTTTTGAAAATGCATAGCAGCAATTTGGAACACTGGAAGCATGGCACCCTGGGTTTCGTGCTCACACACGTTCAACACGTGCCACGGTGAGACTTTCGTGCTGGTTTCAGATCTGTGCGCTGCGATTGACACCTTTTTGCAGGCCTCGAAGCTTGGAAGGGGGAGAACAGGGCTAACACAACAGCTCACAACAACATCAATTTTCATCATTCCCCAACAGAAGGCTTACGCCCTTATGTGACCAGTATGGGAGCAGTCTGTGACCAGTCTGTGACCTGCCTAGGCGACCCAGGCTGCTCCACGACTCTGGGGTTCGTCTGCGCAGTCACCTCAGGTGTGCGATGCGCACACAACGCAGAGCATTCGCAAAGTGGCAGAACATGTAGCGCAACTGGCCTGGATCTGAGGACGTCACCGCGCTGTGGTTGCAGCGTGTGCGTGATAAGGAGGCGCTGACTTCTGCTCTCATGCGTCGGCTCATGTCGGCTCTTTGTGACGCGCTGAGATGTGGGTTACCCATGTTTTTCGCACGCAGCTCTAGTCGAGTTCGTGCCGCCGTCAGGCGGTCAAGCCTTTGATCGGCACAGTGCCACAGATACTGAAGACCATGGCTTTTCGCTTGGACGATGCTCCCTGCTTGCCTATGATTGCACAGTAAGTGCTGCGATCTTGGGCGCTTGATGCTTGATATAGCAAGGCTTTGCTTCTGCAGCATGGCTTCCGCTTGCTGTGGGCCTTTGGTCAGACGTCGACAGAGTGGCCCGAGGCTTCTGAGCCTAAGGTAGCCACAGGATCTTTGCACGTTTCCGAACTTTCTGCATTTAAAGGCTCTGCGGCAGCCGGCAGTATGTGCTCTCGAGCAGCTCCGCGTCTTGGTGGAGTCGAGGTGCCAACGCTCCATGACTCCATGACATTCCATGAGCACATCTCACAACCGAACAGGATTCGGGCGCTTGTGCGCGGAGGGGTCCGCCGGGGCTGTGTGTAACGGGTCTCGTCCAACCGGTCCACATTGCAGGGCAGAAGAAGAGGAAGAGAAAGAGACAGAGCCCTTGTGGAAGTTGAGGGGATTCTGGCCAAGCCTTGAAGATTGAGGCCTTCTGATCACAAGACCTGGCCGGGGAGGGCTCCGGATTAATGCGGATATGGTAAAGCGGGTGAGGGCAGCTCACGGGCTACTTGCTCGGAAAATTGTTACAGGGCTTGTTTCGTAGTGAAATGTGAAAAGGAAGTTCTATGCTCCAGGACCTTCTGCAATCTGAAGCATCAAGCCCCCCCCCCCCCACCCTCAAGGGGGTGGGCATGGGCTGCTATGCGCAGATTTTTGTGGTTTGTGCCATGTTTATAAACACTCGTGGAAAAAAGGCCGTTTCTAACGACTTGCTTCTTGACGTACGCGCGAAATGCAGTGAGGGCAAAGGGGGGGCGGGGGGAGGGCGGGGCTGGGTGGGGGCGTGGGGCGAAACCGCACACCTTTTGTTGCGGGCACGGAATTGCATCTACATGCTCATGACGCATCCAGTCTTGGATTGCAGTTTCATAGGCGTTCTTTGAGGAGCGGAGCAGCCAGAGTTTGGCGATGGTTTTGCCATGGGAGGGCAAGCTTGGTATCTGAGGTGTTGTGAGGGTTGTTTTGAGAGAGGGATGTTGAGGGTGTGAGCCTCGGGTTTAGAGTCTCAAATGGGGGCCTAGATGCCAGTCTTGAGTGTGTATTGTGTGTGTATTATCGAGTTTTCTCTGTATTATCGAGTTTTCTTTCAGAACAAACGTCTAACCTGACGCTTCTAGAAAGGCCGGATCTTGTTGGGCAGGGTGCTCCGTTGAATGTAAATGGAGTTCACATCCCACACAGCTGCCTGAATTGCAGAACCAAACGTTGCTGAGCGAACTTGTGGGTGCCTGGGAAAATGAATGGAGTTTGGTCTAGTGATCTCCGCCACCCACACAAGTTGACAAGGCAGTCTCCGGCACCGAATGCCGTGCACTACAATGCCATGGCTCTCCAGGCTGGAGTTCGGGAAAAATGAGTAGCGACAGCTCTGAAAAAGGTTGGAATGTCGACGGCAGGCACTTTCCGCACTGGCGCCACGGACACTCAACCTGGACACCATGGATTGAAAAAAGGAGTCTCCGAGCGTTCCAGATGCTGATGCCGTCTGCTCCGCAATCTGTCACACGGTCGGGGTCACTGGCTTGAGCTCAGCAACCTGAGGGCTAGACCGGTGAACTACGGCGACTTCAGTCCGTGGCCTTCTTATGTGTGGGCGGCTTCAGCATGCTTCAGCTGTCGCTCTGCCATGTCAAGCCAGGTGCCTTGCCACGAAGACCCTCACTGGTGCATGCCTTTGAGCGACTGCAGATTGCAACGGTATGGGGCACATGGAGACACATGCACGGAGTGAAGTGCTGCTCGATAGGTGACTCGCCCGCGACTGCTTCTGGCAAGTTGGCACGAGACTGAGCAGATGTTCTAAGGACATTCCCTGATAGTTCTCTGCTGCAAAAAGTCTGTTGAAGTCGCCGTGCAGGGGAAGTCGGGTTACTTTCGTGCCCGTGTGGTGTGTGGGTCTACCCGCGGCTGCAGCGGGCTCTTGCAAAACATGCGTGCTGTTGCGTCTTCCAAGGGCGGTGCAGCTCGTGCAGGCCAGAGGCTCTGAGCCTTCACTAGGGACATGTGCTCTACCAGCTTGCTCCGGAAGGCTCAAGCGGGGCCCTTCGATCTGCACGAGGCTCCGGATGCTGCGACTTGTGAATGCAACTTCGTGACATGTGACTCCAAGCCCATCGCCGCACTGCTTTTTCCGCAGCATCTGAGCTTACCTGTGCTTCGGAGTGCGTACATGGCGCCACGAACTACAGAGCAAGTGACACTTGTGGAGTCGGCACCCCAGTTTTAGGGAGTTCTGGTACAAAGGTTTTGATCGCATTGCTTGCACGTGGAGGCCTGCAAAGTCTGTTCAATGAGTCTTCTTGGCTCGGCCTCTAGCTCAGCTGATCCGCTCCATGGGGATATTCTTGGATCGGCTGCCCGCAAGGCATCCGGTGCTGCATCCGGTGCTGCCTCCGCTGTGGCATCAGCAGCTTCAGCTGCGACATCTGCTGCTCTGGCGGCCAAGGACTTGCATCCAACTCTCTGTGTTTTTGCAAGATGCAAGCTGACGTGCAGGAACGTGCAGCGCAGGCAAGCTGTCCCTTGCGCATGCGTAAATAGCAGACATGGACTACATACGGCAGGCTCAGCAAATGCATGGCATACGAGGTGGCGCCGGCACCGCCCGATGTTGTGCAGTTTGTTGCAGAAGCAGGTGGCAGCCACGGGGATGGGCCTGACTCATGCACCATGTGGGCATGTTTCTTTCCCAAATCGATCTGGAGAGTGGGCCGAACCTGCAAGAATTCTGCATTTAGCAAGCTGGCGGCTCGCAAGTTGTTGCAACAGAGGAACAGTGTTCCATTCATGATAGGAAGTTTTCACTCATCGTCGCCGGGCTCCGCGTTGAAATTGGTGAAGTGATGTTCCACGGTCTGTATCCAAGCGCAATAGCGCTGTGGGGGTAACGGATCAGCCGGGGTCCTTTGAGAGAGATGAATAATCCTCCATAAAATGGGTAGCCCTGGGTTTGTATGGGTCTGTGTGAAAAGGGTTTGTTCCGTTCGCCTTGTTGCTGGTGGTCCTGCGACTTTAGTTGGCAACTTGACTTCAAAGGTCAGTAGCGGGTCCTGATAAAGGAGGAACTGTATCTCTGCATTTCGTATTGTATCTCGTTTGCAAGTCCTGACTGGGCGCATGCCCTTCGCAATTCCGTGGTTTATGTTTCCTGTGCCAGGCGAAGTCGTTGCAGAGGCAGTGCATGAGCAGCACTGGAAATCTAAATTGGATGGCTTGCGAATTCTCCGAAAACGTTGGCACTGACCTGTGCAGCAAAATGGCGCTAAGGGCCAGAGAGTTCGAGGGGCAGCTGGCGAGGTCACCAACCAGGTGGCAGGCCCGGAGCGTCACAAGCTTTCGGATGTGCTCCGGAGTGGCTGTTTTGCAGGTGTTGCTGGCCATGCCTCCACGCAAGTGGCCGCTGCTGTGGAAGGTCTTGTCATGAGTTGCTGCAGCCATACATTTGTGTTCGCCAGATGCTAGGTGTTTCAGGTGTCGTTACTTCTTCCTTTCGCGGCGGTGAGATTCGAGTACGACGCATGCCTAGCAAAGATGAATGCTGCGCACCCGTGTGTATTTATGCTGAAAAAATCTGCGCACCCGCGAGTGTTTTTATGCTCAAATGGCAGTCGCTAGGAAGGTGCTGAGCAGTCATTCGATTAGCCCTTGCAACTCGGAGAGCTAAAAGACAATCAAACTGATTGAAAGGCTTCTACTCCATAAACTTTCACGAAAGCAGAAATCAGTTCATCCGAATCACAAGAATACATAAAAACACGGCCTCCTCTCCCACAAGTGGTGAACAAACGCACGCATGACGAAAATTAAGTCAAACGCGAGGTCAAGACGGGAAAAGTTTTTGGCACTAGCGGGTCTAGGCAGAGAGAGGCTGAGGGGGGAGAGAGGTGGAGAGAGGCGGAGAGAGGCAGAGGGGGGCCTCTTCGCTATGTAGAAGAAGAACCGAGGCAGAGAGAGGCGGAGAGAGGTAGAGAGATGCACAGGGAATCATAGAGAGGCAGAGAGCGGCGGAGAGAGGCGGAGAGAGGCGGACAGAGGCGGAGGGAGGCGGGAGACGCCCACCACGCCCACGCCCGCGCCCACGCCCGCGCCCACGCCCACGCGCACGCGCACGCACAAGCGCACTCGCACGCACGCGCACATCGCACAGAGAGAGAGAGAGAGAGAGAGAGAGCGAGCGAGCGAGAGACAGCGACGCAGACGAAGACGGAGACAGACATACACAGACACAGACACGCTTCAACGGACCCTGTAGGTGTGCGTGACCAGGCGGCCTCTTCCCTGGCAATTATGTACATCATGAGTTCTCACGAACTTGCAGCAGCTGGAGTATCCATCGGCAAACACCGGCGGTAGTTTTTTTCCAAGGTTCATCAGAAGCTGCGCATTGAACAGCTCGCGGACCAGTTTGCCGATCTCATGGAGGCGAGGGGATCGCAGCCGCAGTTTTTTTAATTGTGTGATATTGTGCGTGATTGCGTCAGCTGCCTCGTGGCAGGGCTTTCTCAAGAGAAAAGTGTTCAAGCTTCTATCTTCATTTGTGGACAAGATTCCAGGCATAGTGAAAACTGTACCTCTGCTGAATCTTGCGTGCCCGCCGAGCAAGGGCAGTCAGTATGTTCCTGAGTCCGAGGTCTTGGAAGATCCTGAAATGCCGGCCCGTGTGCAGAGAGCACAGGACGTCAGTGGGACATAGAGGCTTTTCGTGTGTGCTCTTGGACCACCGACTGACATGCAGGATGCTGCAATCGATGTAGTATGGCCAGATGTTCGGGAGGAGAGTGCTGCAACATTTCCGTGCTGATCTGCAGACTGTGGCACTATCACGTCTTGATGAGCATGTTCCTGCAGGAAATCATGTGGGAGCTGGCCGTGCGCCTCGGCACCTGCAACCGATGTACTCAAGCTTTGTCCATCTTGGATGAGTTTGTATTGGCAGGACCCTTTCAATGAATGGATGAATGGAGCAAACTGACACAAAACAACAGCAGCGCAATGCATAGCGGGCGCACCTGAGGAGCAGCATGCAGGTTGCGTTGGTAGGGCAGCTGGGGTACATGATAAGCAAGCCTGGCCATCACGGGATTGTTGTGGGTAGATGCAGTGATGGTAGTGACGGTAGTGTCAGCGTACTTCCGAGTAGCGTGCGATTCTTGCTTTGCATTCTCAGGGCCATGGATGGCAAGGTGGCCCAGGATGTGCCTAAGGCACTGAAAGAGGGTTTGGAGGAGTGCGAGTTGCTTTCCATTCCTCATCCTCCAGTGCAGGTGGGAAGCTGCACCTGTTGTTCTTTCCTCAGATATCACCTCTATCCCTTTGATAGAGGCTGGCGTAGCTGTGACTCATTGCATCTGGTCAGCATGATGTCTATGAGCAGGATTCTGGGGACGGCTGCGAGATCCAGTATGGACTTGCGGCAGCATTATAGGTAATGTACTGTTTGCAGGTTGCCTTTCTGGCCGCATTCTGTATCTGCCAGCCCCAGGATACTCTTCACCATTGTGGGGCTTCTCCCAGTGTATGGCATCAGCCCCGCTGTGTCTCAGCTGCAGTCAGGCGGTGCCAAAGTGTAAGAAGACGTTGGCAAATGCCAGCATGAGGGAGTGCTTGTCGACTCCGCTTAGATCTTCGTGTTCATTTTCATGGTCATCGACAAGACTGATGAGTTCCAGCTTGTTTCCTTCATTCTCCAGTTCAAGGTGCTGAGCGCGCACGCCCTCTCTCTTTGCTCTGTATGTCGTTAGGTGGTCAGGTGCTCGTTGCATCCCCTCAGCTTGTGGGGGGTCTGGAATGGTGACCCTTGAGGGTCAGGAAATCCGACCTTTCCCAGCTTACCCATTTCACGTCAACCCTTCACTGAAGGGTCTCACGACCTTGCCGTTGTGGTCTAGAGAACCAAACCATAGCTAACACCGACAAGTCCATAACCAACCAGGGGTCTGAAATGGGTTTCTCAAATCATACCCAGCTCCCAGGAAAAGCCACAGTTGGGGGTCTATAATGGGGCCCCAACCCCACCCCCTCACAAACTGACGGTGTCTCGTTGCATCAGTTTTTGCCAAGCCAAACTCTGTGTGTGTGTGTGTGTGTGTGTATGTGTGTGTGTGTGTGTGTGTGTGTGTGTGTGTACGTGTGTGTGCGTGCGTGGGTGGGTGGGCGGGTGGGTGGGTACGTGTACGTGTACGTGTACGTGTACGTGTGTGTGTGTGTGCCTTGGTTTCGCAAGCAGCGCAGGAGTCCGTGCCTTGGATACAGTTGCAGTTACAGACAACAAGATCAAGATGAAGACCAAAAACAGCTAGAGGTTAGGTGAGCCTGTTGAAGACTGAGTCACCGACTGTTGATCGGATTGAACACCTTGTGTCAAGCGTGTGTGTTTGTGTGCGAGTGTAGGGGGGGGAACGCATTATGAGTTTTTGAGCAAAAAGAAGCAACATAGTTGGGCCACCCGTCCGTGCACAAATGCGTTCTGGTCACAGAGCTTAGCCATACCGCGCCGCGGTGAAGCCTCATTGGAGGGCTGGCGCAGGGTGCTCGGTTGCTCAATCCTGTTGGGTTTTGGGAGGGGTTTTGGGAGGCTTTTCTTCCCGAAGTCTCCTTCTCTATCGTCTTCTTGTCTCCCTTTCACGTCGTGTGGTGCGCGGGTAGGATCGGGCAAGGTGTGGGGCCATCAGCGAAAGTCATTTTCAGCTTGGGGCGACCCCGCGCTCCGCGAACAGAAAGAAGAGAAAGACAAGAAAGAAAGAAAGAAAAGGAAAGGCAAGCAAAGAAAGAAAGAAATGAAAAGAAAAAGAAAGCAAAGGGAAAGAAAGACAGAAGGAAAGAAAAAAGAAATCAAGAAGAAAGAAAGAAAGCAAAAGGAAAGAAATAAAGAAGCAAATAGATAGATAAAGAAAAAAGAAAAGAAAGAAAGAACACAGAAATAAATACAGAAAAGGAGGAATAGCGCCGCGCACTACGTTACTATGCTATGCTTTCTCGGCGCAGACGCGGGGCGGGGAGGTTAATCTGACTCATCCCCAACAACCCAAAATTCTGTGACAGACACAGTGTGTGTGTCAGAGGGTGCGATGCTGTCAGCGCATTTTCGTCAAGCTGTGGAGGGGTTCCAGTACCTCACGCAGGGCGTTTTGCGCAGCTTGATGGGCAGGTTCCTGAGGTCCGAGAGTTTTGAGACACCCTTCGATTGCCCAACGACACCAAACAGCCCGTCTATTTCCGTGAAAGTCAGGTTACTTCATGTACCTGAACTGCGTGACCGCGCCAGGGCAAAGAGAGGATTACTGTGCGACGAACGGACCGGGTTCCGTAGCTCCAAGCATCGTGGTCCTCGTGCACGTCTCAGGATGTGTCACAGCAAGTTTTGTGGGACGCGGTAGCTTTCTGTCATGAGCAAATCGCTGCAGGTTGGATACTTTGTCCAAATTGTTCTGGTTTGGACCTTGCCGGCATTCAGATCTTAGTGCAGCCAGCTTACTCCACAGATCACATGCGCAAATTGAGGATTGCATTCGCGCTTCTGCCCTTCTCTTCAAGGAAAGGGCGAACAACTTTGAGTGGCCATTTGGCGCCTCATCCGCCACAGTTCGGGTGGGGGAAGAGCCAGAATCATGATGTCGGAAGCCCTCAGAAGAATGTAGAAAAAGCAATCTAGAAAATCGCGGGTTGCGCGAGAGATCGTGAAAACATGTGGGGTTCAAGCGGCCGAGGATGCACATCCTGACCCTGCAAAGCAACGGGGCGGATACATCCGCTCCCTGCCCTGACATCGCAGCATTTGTTCGTGCTGATGTTCATCTTCTGCTTTGCTTGCAATGCTGGTCACATGACATTCATGACATGATGCCGGCTGCATGACAGTTGTGCCATCGTGTTGTGCTCTCTTAGTTTATCTCCTGTGGTATGACCTCCTGACGTTTGTGTTCTGCGCTGGCGCACTGGTTTACGTGCTACAGCTGCGGGAGTGGTTACTTGACGATTGGATGGTCAAACATGCTGCTTGGTTGTTAACGCTTTGCTGCCTTAGATGCGCTTCGAATTAATTTCCGAAGCAAACCCGTGCACACGCAAGGCATTCTTTGCAATCCAAATGGTCCATGGTTATTTGTCCATGCCGTTCTTTTTCTTTACAATTCCATTGGTCAGGACTGATCCTGCTTGTCTAGCTTTGTGGATGCTTCTGTTGCCGTGCTTCTTCCACTATCCTCCACCTACAGCGTGACCATGCGTCCATTGCCCTGGCAGGAATGTGCTGACCCACACGGCCACTTGGTCCATCTTCGGCCATACCTTTGGATGATGTTGTGGGCTTACGCTAGATGCTGTTCTCTGAGGCACCGACTGGATACGATCGGTCCGGCCTCTGCAGGCAGTATGTCGGCGTCACCAGGCATTGACCAGCATCTAGGTGTAGCATCCCATTGGTGATGTAAGCAAATGGAAGCTCTGAGTGGAAGGATCCCCAAAGCATCAGCGGACAGAAGCTTTCCACGACTGTTCGAGAAGGCTGAGGCCATCCAGAGTTGGAACATTTGGAACATCCCAGCAGTCCCAGCACACCCCCACAGCACTCGCCTGGCAAGGCTGCGAGGGTTTTGGCGAACCTGAAGCGTCTAATGGCTGGCCTCCAGGTTCGTGCGCTGGATGCGGAGGATGAGATGCCTTGAAATGCTTTGAACCTGTGTGAAACCGCAGCGTGATGGCTGTGCGTTGGAAGCAGTGTGGGCTTGGCAGGAGCAGCCGTCAGAGGTCGAAGCCGAGGGCACTCCGGGTTCACTTCGTTAAGTGCCTTAGTTCTTTTTTCGCCGGCAGTTGGCGCTTGGCGCATCGGCTTGTGCTGCTGGGTCAATACGGCCATGGCAGCATGCCCGCGCCCGGTTGAGTCGCAGAGAACGGAGCACCCTTGTCTGAACGCAAAGGCCGTTTAACATCTGCATGCTTCCCCTGCAGTTGAAATCTTTCCAAGATCCTGAAGCTTGAAACCGGCATGCTGTTGCGACAGAGTTGTGCGGATTACGAGGCACATGTCGAGCCCAGCACCTAAGCCTAGGACCTAAGCCACCCTACGCCGTCCCAACATCTTAAGAAGTACTCATGAACCAAACCTGACCCCAGCTTGCTGTTGGTCGTTGGCCACACCTGCTCTTGCAGCCAAGAATTGACAATCTTTCGTCTTTTGTCAAGTGAGAGCTGCATAAGATGGGCGATTGGGCTGTGCTGGCTTTTTCTGTTGGTTGCACCCGCTTCGGAAGCCTCCTCAGACCTTGGCCTTGGGGATCCTTGGAACTGTGGTGCTTTGCTCATGGTCCTTGCTTATGCCAGGCTCCCAAGTGGCAAGTGCATCGGAAAGACTGGTGCATGAGCTGAAGGCCGCAAGATCCTGCAAGCCCGCCGCGAAGTGCAGGGGTTAAATGGGTTAGCAGTTGACTAGGGTGAAAGGTTCGGACTGACTCTGAACAATTGCGATATGCTGTGGAGGTTTTCCCGAACCAGAACACGTATAGCTGCCCGGCTGAGTTTTTGGGCCAGATCCGTCAGCAGGTCGATGCTGGTCGTCAGAAACTGCTAAACTGCTTGCCGAAGCATCCCACTTTCTGAGATGGAACTTGGCTTGACGGTCGATGTCACGGCGATGGCCTGTACACTTGGACTGCGGGGGGCCAAGTGAACACCATCACCTAAAGATTCCCAGCATGGCGTGAGAGCAACTTCAGGATGGTACGGAGTATGCCGGTGAGTTCCGTGAAGGCTTCATGTGGGGTCAAGGGGAGAAGTCGGTGCCTCAGCGACCGTATAGACATCATTACACTTCAACGTCCAGTACCTGAGATTTCGTCAGGCGATGGCCAAATGGAAGACGGTATTGCGGAGAATGGGTCGGCCCTTCGGCCCTCGGACTTGTTGAATCGCTTGTGGTATAATTTTGTATCGCGAGAGGCACAGGACATGATGTGGGGCAATGGCGAAATGCGGTGACCTTGGCTCACCAGCCTGCAAGGCGCACGCACGCACGGCAAGAGCCAGACCATGGAAGCGTGCGCACGCGCTGGCGCGCGGGTGTGTCTCTGTGTGTGTGTGTGTGTGTCATATCCTCGATGCAGTGTCCCAGTATATCTCCGTAGCTGCTGAGGCTCGGAACCTGCTCGTCCCGTAAATATAGGTGCGACCGATGGGTGGCTATGGAAGAGATTACGGAGAATCGGTGGCAGGATCAAAAGGCCCAGGCAGCTGTGGAGCCCGAGTTTTCTGTGCCACAGAGCATCTACCTTTCCTGGATCAGGCCACATGACTCCACCACATGATTCTGCATGATTTCGTGTGGAACAGAAGGCTAAAAGTTGGGCCTCAACTGAAGCTAAGGCAAGAGCTCTATGATGAGAAAGCGTGCATGGAGCTGCCCTTCATGATCCTGTGCCTTTGCTTCACAACGTACTGGTTAGGCAATTCAACAACAGAGGCAGGCAAGGGCCCATATGCTAGTCGAGAAAGAGCTGAGCCGCAAGGGTATTGATATCATTCACTTTGATGGCGGCTTCTCGGATGCAGAAGAGCCCGACTAAATTTCTGACTGCAGAACGCATATGCACGTAGAAGTAGCTGCCCGAGCCTCCTAGGTCCTGGCGCTGAGCCAACACGTGGTTCTGTCCGTCGAGCAAGCGATTGAGCAGGACATCATGCAGAATGCAAACTTCGACGCTGGGCAGTATGCTCTACTCTTTGATAGATGTTGATGCAACCAAGCAGTCGTTGGCACGACAAGATACACGTTTGTTGCAACTAAGGCCTTCAATGAGTACATGGGCCGCGCAGATGCAACCTCCCGCTTTTCCATGCCGTTCAGAATTTTCAGCAGCCACTGTCTGGCGTTCTCAGCTCAGGTCACAAGACATTGGTGGACGTGCACTCGTTTGGAGACTTTTGGTCCTGGATTCGCCTGGGGTTTGTCCCGCTGGTGCTGCCCAGGGCCTGGGCTTATTCCGAGCACCGTATCCCTGATGCCCCTCGGCTCATACTAGTACAATGACTGTCACATGTGGACGGAGACGTGCGGTTCCTGCAGTTAAGGTGACAAGTGTGTTTGGACTGAGCCCTGCTGACTCTGCACAAGCGCCCAGTTCATGGCATTTTGAAAGCAGGCGCGATGTTGACTCTGACTCCAGTCCGGCTGTGTGACGGATGCCCTGGCACGCCTGTCAGACCTGTGCAAAGATTCGTGCAGGTACAATGCGCCTGTTGCCGGTGACTATTTGTGCCTTGATGGCCTTAGGTTTCCTGATTGTCAGGTTTCCTGACCGTTGTTGTATGTCAGGTTTCCCAAAGAATATTGGCTGAAGCTTGGCTTTTGCCGAGGCACTACAATCGGATCATTGGAGGCATTCGCTTCCGTCAGCAGGTGGCGCCCGACGGGTCGTGCCGCTTCCCTGGCTCCGCCTCTCAGGAGCTCTTCAATCGATGGTACGGGATGCTGGGCAGCAAAAAAGGTACAAAAGCCAGGGCCGTTCCGAGGGCCCCTTGCGTGGTCCTATCTGCAGCTATTGTCTTCATGTCTCCAGGAAGCCATGCATGCCAGCCTACGAGGACCCTTCTGAACTTCAGCTTTATGTGCTGGGGGACGAGCGAGAGCGAGAGAGAGGGAGAGAGGGATTCGCTAGCGCACGACCCTCGGGGCGGCCCCTCCGGAAGGAAGGTAGGAAGGAAAGACCCTGTTGAGGGGGGAGTCTGAACACCAGAAACCCCCTACTGACAAGGAACCACTTGGCCGTCGCGGCCGGGTCCGTTCCTCGGGGTGGGTGGGGCCTAAAGTGCGCAGCAGAAGAAGAGGAAGAAGAAGAAGAAGAAGAAGAGGAAGAAGAGGAAGAAGAAGAGGAGGAAGATTAAGAAGAAGAGAGGTGCGTGAGACGTTGTCTGCACAAAGCGGGGCTGAATCCGTTTGTCAAGACATGGTGGGAACGGGGATGAAACAGGTTCAGTGCAAGCACGCAGGAGTTGGCTTTCGAGCCTGACACGTCCAACGGTGAGAACTTCGTGCGAGCTGAGAGGCAGGAATGGATCCTGAGTGAGGATGACCATGCGCGCATCGTCCAGCAACTTGTGGAGCCTTGGTGTCACTGGGTGCTTGCAAGGGATATGGTTGCACTATGTTGCAGTATGTTGCAGTCATCGGCGATGGTTCCATCAACCCCAGGATATGGAAGATGGATGTGCTCCTCATGCTCGAACCTCCAGCTATTCTAACTGCTCTTGCAATTGGTGTGGTGCTCAGACGCCTCCTTCTCCTTGGCTCACAGAGAGGACGCAGAGAATCGAGGTGGGAGTAGACTAAGTCAGAGCCGGCGTTGTTCGAACATAAGAAGCCAAGCATCCCGCGGTGTGCAATTTGAGAGCGGTTCGCATGCGCCCACGAAACAGAGAAGCAGAGAGCAGCACTGGCTTTGGGCAGGTGGCTATGGTGTCCTTCAATGCACAGTACGGGCTGCTTACTTTGACGGGGGTGAACCTCTGGATTGCTCGGGGGGGTCGCATGCGCAAGCGTGTGGAGCTCATGTCTCTTTGGATCAACTTCTCTCAGCCGACGGCTGAGAATCTGCCTTCCATCGTGTTTGCTGGAATCTGGTTATTGTGCTTATTCTACATTGTCTTGCACGAGCTCGTTGAGATTTCTTATGCCATTCGAAACGCAGAAGCAAGATGGCATCGTGCATTGCTCGAGGATTACATCGGGCCTTGGATGTTGGTTACATGGCCTCCTCTGTGGGCTTTCTTTGGTGAAAGGTGAACATGCGCAGCGAGTAGAGGAAGGTTGTTGCTGCTGTTTTTCGGGTAAATGTTTGTGGAGGAGGAGGCCACTCTTGTTCTTCCCCATAAGAGGACCACATGCCCAGACCCACCAAGGAGAGCTTCGTAGCGGCTCTGAAGTTCTAAGGCTCCGGTGTTTTACCTTTTTCCTGCTTTTCTCTTCCTTGCGGCCATTTTTCCGTGAGGTGTCCTAGTGTTTCCTATCAACATTCAGAGACATTGAGGTTTTCTGGTTATGGTGTGGAAGAGTACAGGTCTTCAGAGGTTGAAGCACAAAGGCGGAATCAGAGAGAAAGGAAGAAAGACATACAAAACAATGACGAAAAAATACAGAGATGCATATTCAGAATTACAGAAAGGAAATGAATTCAGCAAAGTGAGTACATACATACATGAATAAGTCAAGCCAGAGAACAAGAAAGACAAATGAACATAAAGAGAGTGACCAAAGAAGAAAGAAAGGAAGAACGGGCTGCACCTCCCGCCCCCCTTCCCCGCTGCCCCCCTCGCTTCTTGGTTTGCTTTCAAGCTGTGCATTTTAAAGATGCCTGAACACAATTGAACGGATATACGAATCCTTCCCAGCCCGTCGTTGTTTGTGAATGGGGGAACTCCACCCCCTACCAATCCCCCTTTTCCCGGGATGTCTTAACTTGTTTTGAGGCATTGTGTTTGACAGGTAAGGGGGGGCTGCTGCGGAAGTGTGTTCTATGCAGAAGATCGTGTCATGAAAATGCCCACCTGAGTTTCTCCCCCCTTCGAAAGGGACCTGAGGTTGACTGGCTCTCGATTTCGGTGGCAGTGGTGGTCCTGATTCTGTGGTTCAGTCTGGCCACAGAGTCGTCAAATCTGCAGCTGCAGCTAGGTTATTTACAGAGGCAAGAAGCCCAGCAGACACTGGAGAGGGCTGTGCGTGTTGGCCATGTGGCCACTTTCTACGAGGCTGTTGAAGCAGTATGTGCGGAAGAGAAGCGCTTCCGCTTGATCTTGTGCTTCTATCCGATGCTCCTGCTACTGCGGCTCTTCAAGTCCTTTGCGGCACAGCCGCGCCTCGCGGTCGTCACAGACACCATCAAGTTGGCATCCCAAGACCTACTACATTTTGGTGCCTCTGCATGCAATGAAACGCATAGATTTCTGTGCGTTGCATGCTTGTGCATGCTTGTGCTAGGTCCCTTCGGGCCCTAATGGAGTGGTCGGTAAATTATACAAGCACGCCCCTTGTGCATTGACATGCACGCCCCTTACGCATTGATACAACCAACGAATGCCTTGAAAAGGCGGAGGTTCCAGATTCCTGGATGCTGTCTGAAGTGGTCATGTTGCTGAAGAATCACCCTAAAGATACTCGATCTCTTTCCCATTGTCGGCCGAAATCCCTTACCAAAATTTCCTACAGGATATTCGGCTCGATGCTGCAAACTCGTTTGGAGTATTATCTCGATGTCGTGTTCGGCATCGCCAGTACGGCTTCCGCAAAAACAGCTCTACCAGCCAACCCACCCATCTCACCCGGCGCAGATTGTTTACTTAACATTTCCAGGATTGATAAGATTTCTCTTGAATAAGTTTTTGAGAATTGAAATATGCTTGAATGGTAGACTTTCTACAATTTCGCTTGAAAGAAATTTAGAAAATTCAAAAGCTCTAGAATACCTTTTCAAGTACTTTCACTTCTTAAATGTTGGTTTTCTGGGAGCTCCCCCCTGCCCGCAAAGGTTTGTTTCTTTGAATCTCTGGGATTTCTGGCATTTCCTATAAATGAGAACTTTGAAAGTTTTTAAACACTTTCAAAACGAACTCGAAGGTTATACGGCTAAGACCGACGGCTGCCTCAAATAGACGCAAACTGTCCTACATAGATGCAGATATATATAGAGATACATATACATATACATACATATATATATATATATGTATCCGGGAAGTCTCGGCACTGCAATGCCTCTCGAAGCTGTCACCGACTGCACAGTCGAAGGGTCTTGATTATACCCGATTCTCCCCATTCTCTAGTTAATTCATTGGTTCGGCTTGTACTGAATATGCCATCTGGGGCTTGGGGAGCAAATGCATGAATCCAAAAAACTTCTTACATGTCATGTAGGCTCTCCCAAAAGTAATAACTTCATTAGCTTGGCTACCAAAACTGGAGGTCAGCCACATGTTTTATTCAAATGAACATATTTCAATGGCCAGCCACAACAACCGGCGCGCCAAACAAGTTTGGGTGCTGGAGGCGAAAGCCCTCAAAATCCAGCGAACCAGTTCCCCACCTAGCTGGTCATGTTTTGAAACGGCCATTCAGTTTTCAAGAAGAATGCATGACTATGTGTAGCCGACTAAACCTGTAATCTCTCAAATTATCACTGTAGATAACTTTCATGATGCGTCGCAAATCAGTTTGGCAGTCGACGGTTTTCTGCTTGACGAAGTCGTAAATCTTAACGCTAACGCGAAGCCGGGGTCGGAGCCCGGGGTAGGGTGGGGGGGGTCGGGGGGGGGAGTTGGGGTTGGGTTGGGGGCCTCTCTCTGGCCCCGGCACGTCGTCGGCAGCGTGAACGCTGTTCAACTACGCGGCGTCGCACTTGCGACACAGATAGATGGGTGGCCTGCGAGGGGGTTAGGGGGTGGGCCACCTGTCCAAGGTTCCCTAGACTTGGATCTAAACGCCTCAGGCCTCTGGCCTCGGCGGATTGGGACGATTAGCCTAAATGCCTCAGGCCTCTGGGTTTGGCGGATTAGGAGGATTATTCTTTGTGTGTGTGTGTGTGCGAGTGTGTGTAAGTGTGTGTAAGTGTGTATAAGTGTGTGTAACTGTGTGTGTGTGTAAAGATGGCTGAATTGGCTGAATGTAATATCAGCGTTAGAGGTTTGTAGTGTAACAGTCGATAAAGTTGCCGCTTGCAATGCAGGAAAGAACTGGCCCCTGATTGCTGGACTTAGTCGGGTGAATTCCCTTGCTTGATTCATACCTTAGACCCTCCTTACGTACATTCTTCAGCCATCCTAGATGGTGTAAACTATTGGACTGGGGGAGATTCGAATATCAGCAAAGTGAAGCTGCAGAGCCATGTCAGCCCTGGATATGGTGAGGTAGTGGAAAACCTAAACGTAGTCTGGTTACGCCTTCTACTTAAAAAACGAGCGGTACAAATGCTTTGCCGCCATATTTTGGTTTTTATGCGGTTGTTTTGTGTGTGTATACAAAAGGGGCGGTGCGGAAACAGTGCTGTTGTATTTTGGCTGAACACGTGGTTTTCGGCGGGCGTCGTTTTTCTAGGAGGGAAAGGACATCACAAATACTTGGGGTGTTGTTTTTTGGTTGTGAGTACGTTAGGATTTGGATTTGGTGTCTTTGAAGGTGGGTTGTGGAAGGGAACGCAAGGGTAGCAAACAAGCATATCAGTACATAAATACAAATAGAAAAGAACATGGACATATTCAGATATAAGTATACGCAAACGTAACTGAAGTGTACATATATATATATATGTATATACACAATATGCGGTTGTAGCACCTAATTATATACTTATTTGTTGCTCAACTGTGTGTTTGTTTAATCTGTCGAGCTGGTGCATGCAGGGATGCTTCCCAAAGATTGAATGTGCTGATGGTTGTGTTGAAGCTATGGGGGGGTTGTGCAGCGTCGATGGCGTTCTTGTGCCAGTCAGTGCTGAGGCCTGACACAATTTAGCTGGGCGTGTTCCAACAAGAAGGAACCGCGCCATTCTACAGTTGACCAACTGCTTCATGCAGAACACTCACCCAACCAAGAAAGCTGTCGCTTAGACCAAGCATGAACACACCGTGGCTTCTTGTAAGGCATCGTCTCGGTGGCGGTTCTGGCGTGCTTGTGCTTGAACGCCGTGCTGCTGTTTGGACGGGACGAGGAAGCCTTTGGCAACTTGTTTCGTTCCTTTCACAGTGCTTTCCGAATGATGTTCGGGGATTGGGATTGGATGCCCATGGAACGGGTTACTCGTACTGGGGCCTACCTTTGGTTTACCATGTTCATGGTCCTGGTTGTCATCATCCTTCTCAACATGCTGCTGGCCATCATCCTCGACAATTACATGGATGTCAAACGCGTCTCGGCCAGTGCTGACTCGCTTGGTGCTCAAATTCAAGAGATGTACCGCAGACGAAAGATGCTAAAGCGCAAGGAACGAGTGCGCCTCAACGATATTTGGGACAGCTTTGTGGCAGAAGCTGGTGGCCGTCCAAAACTTGCATTGGCAACGGACCGTCAGATCACGGCTGAGATGCTGCAGCAGATCGTCCCGGGCATCCCTCACCCGCAAGCATCCCGTACTTTGCAAAACTCGTGGCTGGCACACTTGAAAGCAACCACGGCGCCGTTCGAGCTGAAACACTCCTCGCGCCACCTTTCAAGATTCGAGGTGGAGACCCGCAAGGTGCGCAATGGTTTGTTCTTCCTTTTTGACCGCTTGGACTTTTACGACACTCGGCAAGACAGCGAGAGCCCCGAGAAGGAACGTGAAAGGACAGATGGCTGGACATCGCCGAACAGCCCGATCCCTAGTTCTTCAGTTCCTCAGCCCTCCGCCATCAGAAAGTCGGTAGAGCCTCCAGACCATGAAATTTGGACCTCTCAACTTCTTGGCAAGCGAACAACCTGGAGCAAGATGTGTGCGAATTCTGTTGAGCGTTGTGTACCGGCCATGCCGATGAATCCAGGGTCAGAGCGGTCTGCTTCAAAGCCAAAGGAAGCACCAGGTGTCACCCACAGTTCTCATCAGTCATCAGCGTCGAAAAGCACCCGGCGCCCGAGCTATGTCCTTAATTTTTTTCTCATTGCCCCCTGCCGAGTGATTGCACTTGGCATGCCAGGATTGATTTTAGGAAGCGGGAAAGGGCATAGGGAGATGTTTGGAGGGACGCGAATGATAGGAGAGCAGTGGGCAAAATGAAGGACCGCCAAAAGAAGCATGCCACAGGCATACCAGCAGCTACACGCAGTTTTTGAAAAACACCACGTGCGAGCGCTGTTTGACTCGTCTGCCGTTGCCGGGCTGAGGCCCCAAGCGAGATCGTGAATCCGGACGGCTGTCGGCCCGCTCGGCCCGCTCAGCCCGCTCGGCTCGCTCGGCCCGGGACGGTGGCCCCACCGAGATGGAGCAGGAGATTCAAATGCAGATGCAGCGCCTGAGCGTCGAAGCTGCGGAGAAGTTGGCCACGGTCTTGAGCAGCGTCGACAAGACTCAGGGTCGGATCGAAGAGAAGCAAGCGGTGATCCAGGGAAGCCTTCGCGACATGCTCCAAGTCCTCTTGCAGCTGCAGTCGCTTGCAAGCCAAATTTCTAGACGTTTAGAGGGTTTTGGCCATCAGAAGAAGTCCTTCCTCGGCCTTTTCACATTGCCGGAGCGGTAGTTGATCGGTCAGAGGGGCTCAATGTACATACGATGTAGCACATTCGCTCACCGAGCCTAATACAGGCTTGCGTGGCCAGCAAACTCTCTAGGAAATAAGCAGGAGCTGCTTCTCTTTCATCTGCCTGCATGTATCTCATAGTGCCTCGGTACGTTTGCCCATTTGCAGCGAATTGCACATGAGAAGAGTTGTCGTCGAAAATGCAAGTAGGGTCATCTTAGGATGTGGCCTTCTGGTGAGAAGTACACCGGCCAGTGGGGCACCAAGTGACGATTAATGATTAAGCATGATTAAGCAGAAGGTGGGGCAGCGGGCCTGAGGTTCTTCAAGGGCGTCTTCCACGGCCGAGGGACTCGATCATGGCCCAATGGGGACAGTTGCCTGGCTTCTGGTGACGGTGACATGGCACATGCACGAAGGCGTTTCTGTTCTGTGAGGCTACATTGGCGAGTTCAGACACGGTGAGCAAGAGGGCGCTTGATGCCGAGCATCCTGCTGCACTACTTGTGATTGCTAATAGATGAGTGCGGCACCTTCGCCCAGGAAGGCACTTTTGAGAGTCTTGCGGAAGGCTCTACGGGATGACATGGGAAATTTTGTTCCGGAGGGTCAGAGTCCGTCCAGCTATGAGTTTGAGGTCTGCATAGCGCCATAGCACCGCACGAGGACGGCTTTTTCCAGTGAGCTTTTCGACTTAGGCAAATCCAGACTAGACCCGAAGCCCGATTCTTGAACCCTGCAAAGCTCCGCAGCTGCACATCGGAGCCTTAGACTCGGCGAACAAAAAGCAAAACCAGGGGCAGGAAAGGTGGAGACAGCTTTGAACTCGCCGCGCAAAATACGTGGAAACTCAACGGGTGCCGAAGGATCAACAAAAGGGGATCAAAGTTACATCGTTGCAACTTACCTCTACCAAGTCGCCTTGGGGATCAGTTTCTGAGATATGGTTTGGCCCGGCCGACTGTGACCAGCTCTTTTCTCGTTCTTCCTGTGCATATTATTCACAGCAGGCTTCCCATCGGCAAGGCTGTACACAGGTTTCAAGATGAAATGTTGCACATTCTGACGCAGCACGATTGTAAGGCTGAGGCAGTCACAGGCCTTGCCACCCCCTATCGACCGTGTTGGTTGAGGTCGTAACTGCGATTTGACTTGCCTCCGTCGTTTCAGCCATCCTAATGCGGTTTTTTTGTACTTCGTCTTGGTAGCGAGGTTGTGCCGAAATCGTCTCATAAAAGGCCCTCATTCCTGAATGTAGGCCTTCCATCGCAGTGACTTCTTTCAGCAGGTTATGGATCACGTTCCGGATGCTCGTGCGGCTACGCGAGTATACTGAGTAAAAGAAGTGAGCAAAACAGTTGCAAAGGCATCTTTAAGTTCTGGAGCCCGACGCTGTCGGGTTGCGTGTGTCTGTGTGATCCTGGTTGATGCTTGGTCCGGTAACACGTTCTTGCGTTTGAAGGTTGGGTGTACATCGGTCATTGGATACATGGCCAGATGCTGGAAGCTCAGCGAAGCACCAGCCTTTCCCCTCATCACTTTGGTTCTGGAATTGGAATTCATTGGAAGGTGCGGCCAGGGCCAGAAGACCTTTCCAGATGATGTTGTCTATGCATCAGCCTCGAGAATGTGTGGCAGGATGACATTTGATTGATGTCTCTGGGCGTTCGCCAGATAATGCAAGCAGGTGGGTGACTGGAGGCAGGGAGTTCGGCACGGAGATGGATGTCGCTGCCTCAGTATGCACGAGCAACTTGTGATTCTCATCTTGTTTGGAATCCTGTGGGCATGGGCAAGGCCTGACCTGGCCCAACGGCGCCTGCTACAAGGGACAGCCTGCGACTTACTCAAGTGTCTGGTGGTCGAGTCTGATGTACTTCCTCGTAGCAGATGCTCGAAAGCATATCTGGCCCCTTGGTCTCCCCTTCTCTTAAAGTTTCAGTGGCTCTTGGGAACCCATGGGCCGAGACAGAAAGGCGGCCCGCTCCGGTCAACATCGCCTGGGGCACCCACACCCTGGCAGAACGAAGTATCCAATTTTCTTAAATCAGCCATGTATATTTTTCGATGTGCGGCTGCGAAACAAGCCACAGGGGTCACGGTGGCGTCGAAGTAACGCAATCTGTCTCGCAATGAAGCGTAAGCTGCTTGTAAACGAAGTGTAAACGATGGTCAATGTCCGCTGTGTGATTGCATTGTGCACATGCTAGCAACATGCGCCCCAACCATTTTTGCATGTCATCAATCACTTGAGACCGGTGTTGTAAGCTTTGTTTGGGACTGGGCTTCAGTTTTAGATGGCTTTAGGTCAATTACGATCAAACCCACTGTGGCAAAGTGATTTCACCAACTCCAACTCGGCAAGCAAAAACTTGGAGTCACGCCATGTCGCCCTACTTCGCCCGGTCTACTCCTCGCCCAACCCCATCCCTAGAGTGGCGTCCCTTGAGTGCCCAACCCCAGAGTGTCCCTAGAGTGCCCAACCCCAAAGTGTCCCTGGTTTGCCAGACTGTCCCTGCAGTGCCCAACCCCAGAAGTGTCCCTGGAGTGCCCAACCCCAGAGTATCCCTACCCAGAGAGGGTGGGGATATTCGAAGTACAATAATTTTGCATCAGCATCGCCAGTTTCACGATGAGATAGCGTAGACTGCAGCTTTCTGGAGCAACTACTGTATCATTCTCATTCCGTCTTGTGTACTCCAGAAGAAGGAAGGAAACATAGGTTGTGAAAGCATCGCTTGCCGTCCATACAAGCTTCTGTTGAATGTGCCATTTGCCCGTTGCCACACCGTGGATCCTTAAATGCCAACATGTGAAGGTTCATTGACGACTGCATTGAAGGTTGGTCAGCCCTTCCTGCGAGAAAGTCGGATCAGCTAATTCGCGTTATCGCTCGCCCCTTGCCAGGACATGGTCGCAAAACGCTTCCTGATGGGAGTTGGTGTGCAACTCTTGCTGGCTTTCATTTTTGTTCCTTTGCTGCTTTGCTTCTTGTAAGAATAAGCCAGGAAGGTGAGTTCAAGGACGGTGAACTGGAAGGTGGATTTGTGATTCTGAAGATTTGCTGTCTTTGAAGTTGCTTGAAGGCTAAGCTCCGCTTGCTTCGTTGAGGCCATGGAACCTTTCATTGGCCTGATTCCACTGAGTTCGAGGGTCTTTGGCACGTATCCGAAGTCGTCGGGTGCATGGCCCTGATGACGTATCCGACTGCTGTGCAAGCAAGACACTTTGTGATTGCCATCGCCTTTGAAGGCCTGGCACCCATCGCTTTCCCGTCAGTAGCCTAGCATTCGAAGACGCTCGCAGCCAGTGTCTTGCAGACTCACATGTGGCATGTCCCAAGTCAGGACGGCACTTGTGTGTCCGGCAACTTCGAAAACTGCGGAGCTCCATGTCTTCAGAAGAACGTTTCACGTCGAAAGGCCTCAAGCTTGTTCTTGGCATGCTCCAAGGCAACCGGAGAAGGAACCAAGAGTTGGGTGAACGGTTGCAGACCCCCCAGATGTAGTAGAGCTTGGCTTGCTGACGGAGTTACTGGTATTTGTAGTCGTGGCCTGGAACAGTTGGCAAGGCAGCTATGCTGGCCGGCTGTTGCACAACCAGCAGGGGACTTGCATGTGCCATGGGTCGAGGGATAGAAGCAGTTGCGATATTTTGGAAGCACTGCAGCACTGTCTTGGGGCACTTGAAGATGCTGAGGATACATCACTACGGTGTTCTGCGGTGGTCAGACGGACGATGCTATGCTCGGGCCCTTGCTGTCTGGTTTATGTGCCCTGTGGCAAGCCATGAGGCTCAAGCTCTTCGTGACCTGCATGCAGTTGTCATCGTGGAGTCCTCGAGCAGGTGGGTCATTTCAAAGATGAGGCCATGCATGGTGTATGGCACCAAGCCTCATTTCAAATGTGCATGCTGGAGCTTGTGCTAGAGCTGTTGACATGTTGACCATCCACACGACCTCTCCTCCACGTAAGCACTCTCCACTGGCAACGCGGCAAGGTTGGGATGCTGACCTGGAATGACAGCGTGGGAACGTGCGTGTACAAGGAGACTTCGAGAGACCTGCTCAGAGCGACTCACGTGATTGCGCCCGTTTTTTTCTCCCTTTTGCAGGGCTATTTCGAGGAGAACCGCTTCCATGGACATGGCGCGGGTCCTACACTGGTTCTACAGATTTCTACAGCCTGAACACGGCTCTGAGCATGCTGACTCTTAGGGTCGAGTCCTCTGCGCTGCCCCATTATGCTCATGCATGTCTTCAAGCATCAACGAGCGACAAGTCACAAGTCTGACAGCACGGAGCTATGGTTTCTCCCGATGAGCTCGCATTCCCAAAGTGTCTCCTACTTTTGAGCCTTAAAGCATGCCATCGTATTTGTGGTGTTGACCTGGTATGCGGTGCTGCGAGACGTGGGCGCCATGCCACGCAACGTGTTTCAGCTGCAGAGTGCGAGTTTGGAGAAGTTGCCTGCTTCCTCCCTGGGACTTTGTAAGGGGGAGGGTGGTGATACCATGCGAGAACCGACACGAGCTCCCCCAAGCCCAAATGTCATCGAAGGTACTTTGCATGGGTTGGCATTGGGTTGTTGATGGTTGTTGGTATTTGTAACTAGGCTGCTGTCTGACATTGGCACGCTGTTTGTGCGATCTGTATGTTGCGATCATGTGCACCCAAGGAAGGGCTACTGCACAACCTGGGCCAGGCATCCGCAGAGTTGCAAAGTGAGTGGCTGGTCTGCACGCTATGTCACGAAAGCTAGCTCCTTGGAGCTTGCGACAGTTGTCGTTTACCGCCTTTCTTTCTAGTGTTCAGGTGGGTCAACAAGCGACCCCGACCCTTAACTGGTATGAAAATCAATGAGTCAGTGGGTTGCAGGGTGGGGGGGGGGGCTACCCCCCCCCCCCCCCCCCCCCCCCCCCCCCCCCCCCCCCCCCCCTTAAGGATTGATTCTACAAAAATCTTTTGGCCCCCCCCCCCCCCCGCCCCATTGCATTAATTGATTTAATGGAAGGGGCCCTCCAGGCCGCCCCCCTCCAGGCCCCCCCCCACTCCCCCCTCCTTGGAGGCTTTCGGATCGATCTGCCAAGAACTCGAACGAGGATTTGAATCCGCAATACTCCGGAAAGCATTCCAGAGTATTCATGCTTGTGATCGGATGCGATCGTCCAAATCGGAACACACACACACTCCCCTCCACCATGTAGCTGACCATACAGCAGACCATGTATGGCATCTTCGGTTTTGGGGAGTGGCCATCATTGCTCCCTTTGCGCTATCCGGCGTTTGTCTTGCATTTGTAGCCCAGACGTCAAGTGGATTCATAGGGGTTCGGTCTTGCGGCAGTATTGCTTTGGACCGAAACCGGTAGGACATGTCAGGTGCCGTTGCCCATCCAAATCACAACAATACATCTCTGATAATGCGCTTCGTCGTTGACGTTCCCAGGTTCTTCGGCGGAGTGAAGGCGCTGCAGTGTCGAAACTGCCTTTGAGGCGTCTGCTTTCAAACCTTATGTTGGCCAAAGGCAAGCGCTATGACTTGCTGCTGTGGTGGTAGAATGGCGAAGACGAGCACCAAGGTGAGCTGGCTGCATGCTTAGAGAATGGGTGGTGCGATTGGGAGCGTCGACCCAGGCCTATCAAGATCTGGAAGAAGCCGAGCGAGCTTTGGCATCTGCTGCCAACGGCGAGCCTTGGTTGAAACAGTCTGTCTGTTGCCAAGAGAGTGAGAGCGCAACCTGCGAGCCGACACGAAGGTGTCATCATGATTTGGGATGCGGGTGACAGTCCTTGGCAAAACGCATGTCGAGGGACGATTAGCCAGTGACGAGTCCGCCTGTTCATATGTTTCGCCTGTTGCCCAATGCCTTCATTCGTCTCATTGCCATGTCTGTATAGACTGGATAGAGTTTGGCAGGCTTGTGGCCCATTCGTGAAAGCAAATCATGCCGCCACGTGGAGTCAAACCTTCGGGTTGATCCAAAACGACTTCTTTTGATCCACTTGCTACCGAGATTGGTCGACCAGGTAGCCTGGAGCTACGAGGGAAGGAGATCGGTGCAAAAAGGTAATATAGGTAAGCGTGGATCAGCCCTTGTTTAGCGAATGGCCGTGTGTCCAAAAGAGCAACTCCTAGGATTGCTAAGGGCCGCAAGAGCTTGTCAGAGCGGCACCGCGCGGAAGAAACGACAGACGCGAGAGAACCCACGCTTGTGTTATTGTCCTAGAGTACTCGCTGCATCACTTTCAGAAAAGTTTAATCACTCAGCGAAGCAGCGGGAACAACACCGCCATCGTGATAGAAGTCCGAGATTTGGCAGCCTTGACTATATTGGGCCTTTAGTGTGTCCACAAAGTCGAGGAAAATCTAGATGGTCGGCCTTTGGCGGATGCTGGAGCCAGATCCGAGGAAGCTCGAGCGACCTCTTCTCAGCTGTATCATGATTTGTCATTGAACTTGCGGTGGCCCTTGTTGTCCCCAGGTACTTGAACCCATTGACAGATAGAGGCAGATGCATTTGCCTGCGGTAAATGATGGGATGCCCCATTTGCGATTGCATGATTGACTGGCTTCCTGGGCAGGCCCTGCCGATATTCTTGAGACGCAAGGCCCTATAGATGTCGAAGAGGTAGAGTCTGTACAAAGCAGCTCAGCTTGGTTGTTTCGTCACAGCAGTGAGGCAGTTGCAAATGCCCGACGGTAGCGGCAGACAACCATGTCGATGTAAGGTGCAACAACGAGAACTGACTTTCCAAGTCCTCCTGGTGAGGTGGAATTTGGCATTTTTGGATTGTTCTTCAGACGCCGCGCAATAAGTACAGCAGGAGGTAGACCATGGATTGCATGCAACATGTTCAGCTATGCAGGGCTCGATGCTGCCCCTCGTTCCAGCCCTTTGGCCTGAATTGGGCAGCAGTTGGAAAGGGGCAATCTGTCATGCTCGGCCTAGTGCAAGCGAGGTCATGCTGCTTCCAGGCGGGCGCCTGCTGAAGTAGAGATTTGTCCATGACGAAATGCAGCCTGAATCTTGAAGTTTGGAGGCCGCTGGGGTGGTCCGACAGCTCGCAACTTCTTGTGATTGCGAGAAAAGAAAACGAAACATGAGTCGGGGAGGCCCGATGCGCGGTTTGCAGACCTTCCCAAGAAAAAAGTGGTCGCAGCTGCGGGCTCCAGAGGGAGCATATAAGCAGGACTTTGCTTGAGAACTGCTTCAGTATGCACACCGCCACACACATGCACACCTATTTATTCTTGTGATTGTTTCGACGCGATGTTGTGAGAATTTGTGAGAATTGGCAGAAGTATCATCATCGAGGCTCGCGCTAGCATGGCAGCTATGATGAGCTGGCCTCGTGTAGGTGTGGCCACGCTGTTTTTGAAATGTTGGTGAGCAGCCACCACATACGTAGGGCCGTAGCTGCTGAGTCGCTTGCAGGTACGCTTGGATTCCTGACCGTGCAGACAGTGCTGAGCGACGGCCTGCCTCCGGCGCTTCCAGTTCCCTTTGCACAGGTTTCTGGCCTGCGCTTGGCAGAAGGGCTTGTGCTGGTGGCCGCGAGTGCGTTGGTCATGAAGCTCTTGTCGGGCAAGCAGGCAGCTTTGTGGGCTGCTGAACTTCCTGCTCTTCGTTTGTGCGACAATGGTGTCGATGATCGACAGGAGGTTCGCCATGCAAGCTTCAATGTGACGGACCTCGCTTTGCTCGGGCTATAGCGCGCACGAAATTATGTCAACTAGACATGTATGTGAAGAAGGCTTATACAGAGAAGTCATTTCTTCCCATCGAAATCCTCACTAAGAATGACAAAGATGGCTTCTTCTCTCCGAAAGGGGCATTCCTGAAGACATTTTTCGCAGATAGAAAATGTAGACTGACAAAGAAGAAATCAGAAAGGCACACGGAAGAGCACAAATTAAGCACATAAACTACCAACATCCTTTTTAATGTCGGGTTGTGAAACCCATAAATGCATTTCCCGTTAAGAATGGAGTAGTCAATAGTCCCAGAAAACCAAGTATTTGGATGACAAAGGAAACGAAGTATAATCACGATGATATGGCTCTTTCAAGATAAAGAACTATGAAACGCAAGACAAGATGTCGTGAACACCATCCACAGTTTGTCGAGAAAACTATGCTGCCACCTTGGCAGGGCTGTCCAGCACAGCCCGAGCATGGGGGTGCTGGGTTCCTGTCCACGGTCTTCACGTGGCGGTGCCCCGGTCGTAGGAGACGGAATGGAACAGCTCACTCTGGCACGTCGAAGGTTGTTCATATCACACTTAGACCTAGAAACCCTAGTTTAAGAGACCCTAGTGTAACACCTCTCGTGGAGCCAGGTTCGGAAATCCTTCGGAAATCCAATGTTTGCAACAGGTACGTCCTGAACAACCTGCGGGCGCTTCTGGTTGCCGAGGCGGCTTGCTTTACATGGCTTGCCTGTTCGCTTGCAAAGGCAACTTCCCTATGTTTTTGTTGTTCTTTGCTCTTCTCGCCGTTCTTGGCCTGGTGTTTATCCGTTGCAGGCGTCGGAAGGCAGCGGCTCGTCACTTCCAACTGGATCCTTGCAAGCTGTTCCCTGGATGGCCATGAAGGTTTGCCGATCAACATGTCCTGAGCACATCCCAGCGCCGCATGCGTCAAGTGCTACTCACATTTGTTCGTGATCGCACGCAGCATTATGCAAATCGCTGCAAAGTCTGGGTGCTACATCAACATTTGCCATTTTCAAGTTTGGCCTTGGGCCGAGGTTCTCTCCTTGCTGCAAGCTCTCGACGCTTGAATGGGCTTGGCATGGGGTCCATGCCAATGCATGCAACTTACACGGCTGGAATATTTACGTGGAGCACTGAGGATCGCCTGATGCAAATGCCAGTCGTTGCACAGCTTGTGGACGCGCGCTGAGCAGTTCCAAGCAAGAGTGCTGGGCACCAGGTGAGTGTGAGCGCTGGGCAATGTTGGGCTATTTTTTACATTTCTCCGAGGAAATCGCCAGTGCAGCTCGTCAGCTCTTGAATGAACTCAGGCCTTCCAAGCTGTTCTCTGTGCTGTCCTTGGCTTGTGTAGAAGTGTTCTGGAGGCCGTACTTGGAAGTTCGACCACCTCTGGTCCTGATGATTCCAGGGAGGTTTCGTGAGTAAGCCTCAAGAAAGTTTGTGCAAGTATGTCTAATTGCTCTACATGCTTCGTCGCGTGCTGAAAATAACTCAGGCGCATGGACCAGTACTGGACTTGGCCTGCCGACGGCAGAACCAGCGGCTCTAGTCAAATGGACGAGACAGTTTGTGCAATAGGATTGTGGTAGCCGATCGTCTTGCGCAGACTGCGGCTAGTGTCTGGTCGCCATTCGTAGTGTCCCAACCGAACTGAATCACCGCCTTCAGCCATTCCCAAGGCCTGCGAGACGCTACTTTCACGTTGCGCACTGGAGCCCGGATGCCTGCCATTGGCTTTGGCACCTGGCGCCTTTGGGCGAAGGATGCATATCAGCCGGTTAGGTGGGCCCTGGATGCCGGGTATCGGCACATTGACACTGCAGAAGGGTATGCCAATGAGGCAGAGATTGGACGTGCAATTCTGGACAGCGGCATACGCCGGGACGAGATCTTTCTGACAACGAAGGCATCCTCAGTTCCCAAGGGCCTTGCTGATATCTCTTATTCTGCAGACATTTTTGCTTTCCAGCTCGGGCAGCTGGGAACGGACTATGTCGACGTGTACATGATGCACACACCACCGGCAGACCTCCAACAGCTACAAACTCTTTGGAGGATAATGGAGTCATTCTATGAACAGGGCCGTGCGAGGGCACTTGGCGTTTCCAACTGTGATGTGCGTGAGCTGCAGCACATCCTTGATTTTGCGAAGGTCCCCCCGGCATACGTGCAAAATCTGTTCAAAATCTACAAGCCCGGCGAGCAGATTCCCGTGGAGGATGTGGTTGCCTTTGCGCACCGGAACCAGGTAGCTGTTATGGGATACTCGGTTCAAACGGAATGGCCGCACATCATGCCGCCGCTGCAAGATCCGCACGTTCTTACGATTGCCAGTCACGTGGGCCGGACACCTTCTCAGGTCCTGCATCGTTGGGCGCTTCAGCGTGGGGTCGGCGTCATCCCAAAATCTGCGACGCGTGAACGAATCTCGGAAAACTCCCGGCTCCTGGATTTCCAGCCGCCAAGCTGGATCCATATACGTAGTTCTCAACTCAACGGGGTGATGCACCCTGTCGTTTCATTTTGTTCCCGCGGCAGGCATGACCTACAACTGCTGCGTAGCTCTTCCATCCGGTGAAGTATAACCGCTTCTACTAAAGAATGCTAAAGTGCCGGAAATAGATTCGGCACTTCGGACATTCTAAGGCTGACAGGCGAAGTGATGCGACTGCTTGATGGGTTGGCAACATTGTCGGAGTCTGGTGCGGCTGAAATCAAGCCCGCGCAGGAGGACGGGCATTCGTGCGGACTCGTGTGGACAGCACTAGGTCTAAGTGGTAGATGTGTGATCACATGTTGTCCTGATGTGGTGCATATGACACTCGAAGTTGACTCGAAGCATGTCAATGCATGTCAGCTTGGGGCTTGTTGGATCCCCGTTTCTTCGACAATTCAAATTGGCCCCTCAGAGGAAGCCAGTGCGATTCCTGCTAAAAACCCGAGACCCAAACCAGCGCTCTGGGTCCCAAACACTGGATGTTATCTATACTTGATCTTGACAACGCGCAATAACCAGTGGGCGAGATTGGCTCTTTCACTGTAGGTTTGAATCCTTGAGCTTTGGATTGAAAGTGCCATACCAGCTTAGGCTTTGCAGTTTGCTTGTGGTACTCAATGACTGCGGCAAGCTTGTTGCAGGATGTATTTGGTCTTGCCAGGGTCTCCAATGCTCCTCAGCTTCGCAAATTTCACGCTTGAGCTTGCGCTGGCCAGTTCTGCACGCCATGATTGAATCATGACTGGGTTCCTGGACGACCTGACTCATAGAATCCTTTGGTCTGAGGGAGACTATGGAAAGCCGACACCTGGGAACTCCGGGCCAGGGCCTTGGTGCTGGGCTCCCATTTGTTGCTTTTGTTGGTGCATTTTGCAAGGTCTACTCACAGGCTCGAAGATCCTCGCGACAAGGGTTTCCCGTATGTAGCAATCAGCTTGGCGCCCGGCATCGGGCGTGAGAGGATTTAGGGACCGGGATGCAAGCATTAGCTCAGGAGACCACTTGCTCGGCGCACCTGTGGACTTGGGTCCCGAGATGTGCCGGCAGGCTGGGACGGCTACGAAATGCTACGAACGAAGCGAAGCCACACGAAACCACAAAATTCGTCAACTGAATCGGCAGAGCTAAAGCATGCTGAACGAACGTTCCTTACACCCTCAAGTCATCTTTAGTCACTTGCGCTTGGCTGTCTCTTGACTGAGTCTGCAGGCTTGCCTTGACAACGTTCGCTGCGCAGCCTGGGAAGTCTGTGCGCCGCTGAGCCCTGAGGCGCGAATAGCCCAGGCTAAGGCGGCCCAGAGAACTTGCCCGAGTCGGAAACCCAAGGAGACCGAGGCAGAAAAAACAAAGCATGAAGTAAACTTACCCGACCTGTCCATGATTGTCCATGTTGTTTTGGCGAGGCTGGCTGCGGCGGCTGCTACTTGATAGGTCAGGTCGAGTTGCTGTCGCCACCCATGAGAATACCTGGATGGTATGCCCCCGACTCATTTTGTGAAACTTGTGCTGGGGGCGAGGTTTGCTGGCGGATTTGCTTCGCAAGCCAACAGTTGTGTATTAGTCCAACAAGTCACTTGCATGGTTCTGTGGACATTTCCGGATGGAAGTGCCTTCAGATGATTGGTCACGTCTTCGGTGAGGTAGCTCCATGTGGCCCCATGTGGCTCCATAGCTCCATGTGCATGTGGCTCCATGTGCTGAGTCCCTGGTTCATGTTGGCCTGCTGCGGGTGGGAGTTCGTGTAATTGGTATCGCGCTATGCTTGCAAAGGGGGTGTACTATGCCATGGTGATTTTGAGAAGGGGGCCATAAGCACCTGGCCATTTTTGGCTCAAGATTGGCGCCCTTCCCCAAATTCCTGCCAAAAAATGGATCTTCTCAGTCATGGATCTTCTCAGTGATGTAAGTGATAGCACTGGTTCAAACTTCAGCGGACGAGGAGTCCGCGACGGGTTGACCGCTTCCGCCTCGCCCATCAGCAGCTGCTCCTCATTGACCTGTTCCGTCATCCCACAACCTCTTCGCTTCCTTCTCTCGTGCTGGCTCGGCCAGTCGTCTTGACTCTCTGGCTGCTCCCCAGCCCCGGCTCCGAAGCTGAGATTCTCGTTGCTCGTGGACCTATCGCTGTCCCTGCCGGAAATTCCCGACTCTGCCGCCTCCCCGCCCTTGTGTCGCGGGTTGATTCGGACCTGACGGTTGGCCAGTTGCAGTTACAAGCCTTCTGGTGTAAAGTCGTATCTCGGGCGCGTGCACACTGGGGATTCGCGAGTTCCAAGATTGGTCAGAACCCACTTGCACCCCCAAGCAGAAATCTCATTCACGCTGACAAAAATGTGCTCCCCTCCCAGGCGTGCGGTGACAAGTGCGTATTTTGCATGTGTGTCGAGAGCATACGCGTGCGGCGCGTGCACATTGGGGGAAAGGCTTCAACCTATGTCTCTGTGATGCGACTTTACGCGGGGTGATGTGACTTCGCTCGCAGCCGCGTGTCACTGGGGAGATGTGACTTCACACGCGAAGATGTGAGTTAACCTACCCGCTGGTAGCTTCCCGTGCCGCTGTGCACTCACCAAGGTTGCTTAATGTTGCTTACAACTGGCAGTCCATCCCCTCCGGCATGTGCGAAGGTTTGGACGGTTCCGCTGCCGATCTCCCACGCGTACGTCTCCAAACTTTTCGCAGATGTTGATGACCTAATTTTCATTCTTAATTCGAGCACTCTGCCGACCGCCGGATGCAGGGCCGCGGATGCCCAGTTCACCTGTGCTGGTTTGCCGTTGTTGCAAGGGATAAGGGGTTCCGGGCAACCCCGCGCAACGAAAAGGGTAAAACGGTAAAAACGAAATTTCGAAATTTACGCTTTTACGCTTCTACGCTGGACGCGCGTGGCGGAAAACTGAGGATCCAGGAAGCGCAGACGGTAAAACGGTAAAAACGAAATTTCGAAATTTACGCTTTTACGCTTGTACGCTTGTACGCTGGACCCGCGCGGCCGAAAACTGAGGATGCAGGAAGCGCAGGCGGTAAAACGGTAAAAACGAAATTTCGAAATTTACGCTTTTACGCTTTTACGCTTTTATGCTGGACGCGCGCGGCGGAAATCTGAGGCCGCCGCAAGCGCAGACGGTAAAAGTGTAAAAACGAAATTTCGAAATTTACGCTTTTACGCTTTTACGCTGGATGCGCGCGGCCCCAGGTTTGGAAAATTTCTCTCTGCGCTTTATGTGTTTTCATGTCTGTGCGTAGGACGCGCTCAGTTGATATCGGAGGATGTAGGAACCGACCTGGTTTCGGATCTGAGGGCCCTCCGTAATCTGCTCCAACATCTTGCCGGATCCTGCAACCCTTGGCCTCCCAACTGTCAGGGTTTAGGGTTTAGGGTTTAGGGTCAAGGGTCAAGGGCTAAGGGCTAAGGGCTAAGGGCTAAGGGCTAAGGGCTAAGGGCTAAGGGTTAAGGGTTAGGGGCTAAGGGCTAAGGGCTAAGGGCTTAGGGTTTAGGGTTTAGGGTCTATAGGGTTTAGGGTTCAGGGTTCAGGGTTTAGAGTTTATAGGGTTTAGGGTTCAGGTTCTGGGGTTTAGGGTTTAGGGCGTGGGGTGTGGGGTGTATTGTCTAGGGTTTAGGGCCTAGGGTTTAGAGTTTAGGGGACATGGAAGACATCCCAGGGGCCGACTTAGACCGTAAGTAGCAGGTGTGAGCCGAGCAGAGCCTACCCCGGGGGGTGGGCCTTATTCTGAGACACCTTCAAGAAGGGCAAGGGTTTAGGGTTTAGGGTTTAGGGTTTAGGGTTTAGGGTTTAGGGTTTAGGGCTTAGGGCTTAGGGCTTAGGGCTTAGGGCTTAGGGTTTAGGGTTTAGGTTTAGGGTTCAGGGTTTACGTTTGAGAGAGCATGAAGCCCTAAACCCCACACCAGGAAGCTCCACTTGCAACGACCCCAAACCCTAAACCCTAAACCCTAAACTCTAAGGCCTAAACCCTGAACCCTTAAAGGATAGGGTGTGGGGTGTAGGCTTGCCTAAACCCCGAAGACAGGAACTCGGCATCTTAGTAGCCTTAGTACTTGCTTGAGGGTTCATGGGTAGTTGGGTTGCAAGTACCCTAACCTTAAACCCCAAACCCTATACAGCCTAAATCCAAAACCTGAAACTCTAAACCGAAGATGTAAACCATATTAGAAAGTATACCAGATAAAGAATTTCCCCAGTCGAGTGCCGAGATGCGAGGCCTGAGTGGGTAAGGGGCTAGGGTTTATAGGGCTTAGGGTGTAGATTCCCGTGCGCTGCGGGCGCCAGGCGGGGACCTCCCGGTTTTGTTTGGGCTGTAGGGGTATAGGGTTCCGTGTTTAGGATTTAGGGTTGAGGGTTGAGATACGGGTCAAGGGTCTTTGGGGTGAAAGGTTCGCGGTTTAGGGTTGAAAGTTTCAGGTGTTGGAGGCTTAAGAGGTTTATGTTTAATAGGCTTTCGAAGTTTCGGGGCTGCAGGGGTTTTCGGGGCTACAGGGGTTTAGGGGATGTGGGGTTTAGTGGCTTTTGGGGCTTAAAGGCTTTGGAGGCTATAGGTCTTCGTGGCTAAAATGGCCTTGCAGGGTTTTGAAATTAAACCCTTAGACGCGAAAACCCCGAAAGCCCTAGAATCGTAATTCCTGACACGCCTAAACCCTGAACCCGTAAAAGGGAGAACCCTAACTCCCTAAGACCCCGTCGAACCCATCTCAGGTGGCTCTGGGCCCTTAGCAAGCTCGCTGAGGGCCCGAATCACGCCATCATCGCACAATCGCAGTCGAGCAGAGGCCTGCGATGTTTGGAGGCTGAACGTCAGGGCTTTCGAGGGGCTTCAGCAAGTATAGCTGACGACACGCGCGAGGCATTCGGACTGCCCTTAGGGTACTCTGCAAATCCGAAACTTCAAGGTATTAACCTGAAATCCTACGTCCCACGCCCTCCACGTGTGCCCTCCACATCTGCCCTCCACCTGCGCAAGCTCCGCCAAGGCCGGTCCAGTTAGTGCTGGGCCAGCTGCGAGACTGTGTCCCGGAGCCTATGGCCAATCAAGGATTTTGGGTCTGTTGCAAATTGCGGCTGAGGATGTAGGATTCGAGATCTGAACAATTTTGGACACATTGCAAACCGATTAGCTTAGACAAGGACCCTCAGTAGGAAACCACGCAACCCGATTCCCCCTCCTCGGTTTCCCCGTGGAGAGCTCCACAACACGCGGCCGGGTGGCGTGTAAAACTTGAAGCCTTGCAGGGAAACACCGAAGTTACAACAAATACGTTTGGGTAAGCCAAACCCGTTTGTTTTGCTGAAAAAAACAGAGACGCGACCAAGTCGCAATCAACACCCTGATTGGACAGTATCTTTCAGAAGCTGACCATTCCCATCTAGAGAAACTGGAAGAAGTCATAAGAAACACATCCCTGCCCTTGGAACCGCTGCTGCAAGCATAGGTGTCATGAGGAGTGAGTTTGGCTCTGGTGGGCTGCGCGTGGGCTGCGCAAGGCCGCGGGATGTGCGCGTGAGCAGGCAGATCGCCTGCTTACACGCTGGCCTCGAGCCACTAGAGGGGGTTAGCAACAACAGCGACTTGTCCATTGTGAGCGCTCAATGCTGGGGCCCGGCTTGAATTGTAGAACATCCGGAAACCTGGGTAGTGGGTAGTCAGTAGGTAAGGCGCCGAGAGGAATGACAGGCACGGTTCCCAGGAATCTTTGCTGCAAGGCGAGCCATGGCGCTGACACGATACAGATACGTCGTGCTGCTGTCTTGCGATGTAGTGGTGAGACGAAGCCTTTTGCATCTGTGGTCAAGGACAGCGTCTTCTCCTGCAAGCTCTGCCACAAAATGACCTATCCGATGCTGGCTGCACTTGACTGCCAAAACCTCCCCCTGCTTGTAGTTGTTGTTGTCCGTAAGTATTTGTCGCAAGGGCGAGGATCCATGCGTATGTCCCACAGCGACGAGGAAGGTGCGCGCAGTGGCGTAGCGACATCCTGCATACAGCACAGCACTGTGGCAGAAGTCCACATCCAAGTCAGGCAGGTTTTGAAGCCGTTTCGCAATCAAGATGGACCATTTGCTCTTCTTGGCTGTGATGGGCTCGGTCCTGTGCTTGCCAAGCGTGGAGCCCGACATGAGACAGCGGAGCAAGCGCAGGGTCATGCAAGCAGACGCCGAGACGTCCCACCAATCCACGCGGAAACGCAAGTGCGGCTGCACCTGCTGCGCAACAGCAGTCCATGTTGGCAGGCCAGTGATGCTCAGGAAAAAGTCTGAGCTTTTGCCGTTACTTTTTGCCGTCTCCACTGGCGGCAACATGATGCCAGCCAGGTGGCAGTATTGATTGAAATGTAGGGACACAAAAGGGCCACGTAAGAGGGCGCAATTGCTGCTGTCAACAATAAACATGGTAGAACCCAGGTCGAGCATCGCATCGTAGCAGCAGGTGTCTAGTAGAAACGGAACCAAAACAGCATCAATCA